CTTATATGTACATACGTATATGTGACTGTGTCTAGAGGCTACATGGAACGAACTCTACCTGTTCTTCCAACAGCCAAGGCCTGGGCCCAGGACAGGCATTGAAAGCAAATACCTGATTGTATTAGTGTCTCCCCTTTAAGCTGTTGTCACCTAGCTGACCGATTATGGGCAATTACCTGCTCTGTCGGAATCCTAGCCGAATAGATTGAATTCAGATTGATTTTTGTCCAGGAAAGAGGGGGGAATTTAAAGCCTTTTTTAATTGGGTATTTGGTGTGTGCTGATCTGAACACCGTGGCCTTCCCGAGGGATCCTTTATGGGCCAATAATGGCATTGGAGTGGGCGGGGGTTGGTTGCTGCAGTCTCGTCTGCCGACTCCCTCCCAAGGCCATAACCCTGCATTTGCTCTGAGTGCTTTTCTATTATGCATTGATAGTTGAGCATCAATCAATAAGAGGGGAAACAGAAAACCCAGCGAAACCAACTTCTTAAGTGTAAAATGCCTCTTAATACCCGGGGCCTTTCAAACAACTTAACCTGGACGCTTTTTACCCTCACCCTTCCTCCCTCGGCTCTTTGAGGGACACTTACCGGCGCCTAGCGACACAATGTTTTATTTAGGAGGGCAGAAAATGTGCAGCTCTCAGGTGAAAATGTACCGCAATCCTCTGGTTATACTCAGACATTACAATCCTCTATGTGTGCAGGAACAGAAACAGACACAAAATAGATCATTGCATTTCCATTACACACTGTTGGTCTAGTCTGTTCTCCAGCATCAGAAGCCTCACTGACAGAAGATGCTGAAAATAATCCACCGTACAACACACACTACTCTTTTACTGACTAGATTTATAAAGTACAACCATACCCAAGGTTGAGAAGGTCAGCGCAAACACAGTTGATCATAAAATAAATGTCATGAAATCTAATCCCTTCCTATCCTTTAAAAAGACTAAAATAAATGTCATGAAATCTAATCCCAGAGATGACTTACAAAAATTATCCTTTAAAAAGATACCATCTTCACTTTGCAGTCGGGTTAATTTTTATTTTTATTTTTTTTAATGACCACAGCCTTTGGTTTTTTAAAACCACAGTTTTCTGGGAGATTTCCAGGAAAGAAAGACGGAAAAAGACTAAATCTTATACCCAGATAAGAGAGAGTCGGGACAGGCCTCCCATCAAGAGAGATAAGAGGGAGACAGTCACAGCACTGTCCAGCCACATAATACACAAGCTCACCTCCAGCCGTCTAAATCTCCCATCAGCTCTAGTCCCCACTGGCCCTCCTGTCACCACTAATGCACCTTTTCCTATAGGACAAAACCCCAGATACAGTAAGGTTATCTGCAGAAGTGCGTGGAATTCTCGGAATTGGCAAGTTCACCTTTCCTTTGGTGGCGATGACAGGAGATGATACCGTTGGGAAGATCAATTGTTGACTGGACAATGACTACACGTTAGACATCTCTGATCTTTGGCACTGATAAATCTCATGTACCAACAGGTTGGGAGTTACGGTAGATCCTGGATTTTACAGCTCAAAAGAGGAGAAATATGTTATTTCTGTGAATATGATGACGGTTGAAGACATTTAGAGGAAACCAGTAAACAGGACCAACATTGGTTTGCTAAGGATACACTTTTTTCTCAAGTTCAGTTTTCAGGTTCCCACCAAGCAATGATGTGACATATAAAAACCTCATTCTGGCTTTTTGGGTTTTCCCAAATTTCCTCAAGTTTCATCAGTTTTCACATACACACAAAAAGTATCTTACATACATTCAAAAAGTATATACAAACAAATGTATATAAATGTAACTGTTGAAAAACAAATACACACCAGACAGCTTGAGTGCCCTCTCATGTGAAATTATATATTTTAATATACAGTAAAAGTATATTAAAAAATATAGTAGAAGTATAAGTCGCAAACCCAGCCAAAGGATAAAAAAAGCGCAACTTATGAAAACATGATATACATATAGGTATATATAAGTATTATTTATGAAAATAAAAAAACAATATTCTCTAAATATTCTCCATTTGAGTACAAACCTTTCATTTTTTCATCTGCAGTATATGAAGTATGAAGAACTTTTTAAAACTGTGATCCTTACCACAGACATATATACAATGCTACACAAAATTGACGGAGGGTGAGGGAGATGTGGGAGATGTGGGAGAGGAGGATGCCCCCTGAACTACTTTGGTTACACAAACTTTGTTTTCAGCCTCAGTGCATCAGAGCTCTCCCTCCATCTGCCATCTGCTGCTGAAGAATCTGTTTCACTCGATGAGCCAAGCCCAGCCTTTATTGGTCCTAATGGCACTATCAGCTTAGCCGCCAAACCCAATTACCTTTTAAAAAGGGAGGCCACCCCAGCTAATCATGGCTGCCTAACCTGATTTGCCTGTGATGAAGAGATGGGATAAAGAGCAGTTAATGGAGGGAGAATGATCTCACAAATACAAAAAACTCAATTCATTTCTCCCGGAGAGCAATCTGTCCGATTCAGCTGTAATGGAGTGGAGATTCATTAGACCTCAGGCCTTAGTTGCAGCAACGTCCCCTTATCAAGTGGATGACAAAAGAACATACAGTGCCATCGTCTCCAGGACATTGGCAAGGTACGGGCACGAAGGTGCAAGGCAGGAGACTGTGGAGGTCGATGTTGACGATGCACAGCTCTATGTGTAAACTATGCTTTTAGTATTGCAGTGATATACCTAGAACATCCACCAGAGTAAAATATTTCACTAAGAAGTGGAGGAGGTAGTATTTGTATTCCGTAAACTGGAGCCTCAACAAAGCATCAGTAACGTTCAGAATGATCGCAACATCTTATGGCACCTATCATTCAAGTCTGGTAGACATGAATGATAGAAACATGCACAACCATGAGGAAATCCAGAACCCACCACAAACCAGGTGGTTTCACTAACTCAGCACTGTTATAGGCAATAACTAGAAAAACTAGTCATTGGGTCCACATAGTGTACAGCACTGGGCTACACACTAGTACATTTTCAACCAAAGGCTGGTCTTTTTGAGTTGAAAATTAACAATAAAATGTGTTACCGCATTTATATATATATATATATATATATATATATATATATATATATATATATAACACGGTACATGTTGAGTTTATTGTAATAAATTCAAAATTGAAGTGCCATTATTTTTCCCTGTTCTCTGTATTTAAGGAGGACTATTTTTGGTGACTTTCATTAATCTCTCCGTTCAGCTAATTTGTGTAAGAATGCTGCAAATGGTTTGGAACATGCATAATTAATAGACTGTTTCCCCAACACATTTAGTAACATCGTATTACTGCTGATGTGATTTTAAGCCAGCTTTTTATTAAGTCGAGAAACACTTGAGCCAAAGTCGTCACTATCAGTGATGTCAACTGTCTATCTTGACACAGGATATTGCTGTCTCTAGAATTCTATCTCTCCTAACATCACAGCATCGAGCAGCCCACAAGCCTCAACTGGAAGGAAAGGCTTTACAGCGTCTGCTCTGACTGTGGTCCCATTCACACGCATGTTCTCTTGATGATGTCAGCGACGCGCATGAATGACCCAGTGAGGCCATGAATGTCACACTCAGGATGAGTCACTGAGAGGATTGGGAGGAAGGACGGCTTTGACCCCGAGTCCTAACCCCTGCTGAGTCCACATACTCCACTGGAGCTCCAGCCTGGCCTGGTCCAGATATGATCCAGAGGATGTCAGGTAGATGGAGAGTAGGGCCATCGCCAGGGTTTGCAGACGGACATTAGGCCAAAGCCAGAGTTAAAATCCTATTAGTTTGAGTTGGGAATCAGATTATCGTCGTCGAGAATCACTCGTCTGGCAACTAGGGCCTAATTTACGCCAATCAACAGCAATTATTGAGGGGAAGGGAGCCCCTATTAGAGAGGCTCATCCACTTAGTCTAATGAATGGGGAAGATTCAATCTTGGCTGTGGAGACGCATCGGAGAGCTGCAGCTGAAAGCGACTGCAGAAGCAGGCTAAAGAAGAGCTGCTGTTATTTATCAATGATGGAGGTTGTCAGAGGAAATACATGTTAGCCATAGGGGCATCCAGCTCTGGTTTCTCATTGGTGCGGTACAGCATTCAGTGGTGATCTAAACATCAGATTTTCATTCAGACTTTCTTTTCATTTCTTTTTAAAATTTAGAGGCAATGTGCATAAACAAGGCTTTATGGTTGCAAAAGTGAAGCCTCAGAAGTTGACCTGACCTGATTACAAAAAGGTCAAGTTGTACTCCGTTCAAAAATTGTTTGAATTTTGCTTCAGGTTTTTTGTTAATTACAGTTTGAATAATAACAATTGATAGAACGTAACAGAACCATATGGAACACAACATTGAAAGCTGTATTGTGCAATAAAAGCCTAATTGCAAGCTCCATTGTGTGCAAACAACTGCTAACATCCTACTATATGTGATATCTTGATCAGATCCTATCTATTTCACACTAAATTGAATTGAAATCAATCTGTTTTCTTCAACCTGCAACCAGATTTTGACTTTAACATTTGCATTGAATCAAAGATAATTCACTAAATAAAATGTAATTAATTAATAAATGGATAAATGTACAATAATTAACTGTAATAAAACAATAAAAATACATTACAGTTTATTTGTATTATTTATTGCACTCTTTTTTTCTGTTTTTCACATACACGCTCTTTCATTTTCATTCTTTTACTGCCCTCTGTTGTTGCAAATGGTAAATGACACAAAAATCAGACTATTAGAAACCGCATTTGTTTTTTATTTGTATTTGTTAGGTTAAACAGTTTTTCTGTCCGAAATTTTGTTTCACGCCCCTTGAAAACCTCACTGCGGTTTTAGTGGCAACAAAAACATTTCCAGTTTGTGTGATTCACTTTTGTCCTAGTGCATGAAATTGGAGAAGAAAAGTGAGTGTATTGCTCACATCCTGAAAAACGACCGTTTAAAAGGGGAATTCCGCTGATTTGGTGGTTTTTAGTTAATCGGTGAAGCTTTTCCACATGTGTTGTGCAGGGCCATTTAGCATGTGTTTATTAATAACTGTAAATATTTCCATGGCTGAGGGTTTTGTTTCCGAGAGAACAGGATAAGGATGCTGTTATTCTCTGCTCAAGAAATGACTCTACAACAGACAGATAAAAATAGTAACTTAAGTCACAGTTTCAGTTTGAAAGTGACACACAAGAATGTGATGCTCGTTTCTCTATTGTTCCAGTCTGGGCTCTCATAGTCTTTTTTTTTAAAAAAAACAATTAAAGGATACTTCACACATTCAAAAGGTACCTGGACGTATATCTGGAAATGAAAAACTGCTCGATGATAAAAAAAAGTCCCCCATACTGAAATCCTGCTTTAAAAAATAACTTTTGTTGTGAACGGTCGTTCTGCCAGGGCCTAAACAAGACTTAAAAAAATATTTGAAACTTTTGGGAAGAAACTCACAAAGTTTGATTATAATTACCATTATAATAAAGATTACATTGCTATGGATATATTAGTGGAAAATCTATGGTGCTATAAGAAAACAGATACCTCACAAAGTACTGACTCATCTTTTTCCTTCATCTTTGCCGCTTATGGGAAGATTTACTGAAGGACGGGGAAAGCTAACTCATCTCAGAACATGCCCTTTCCCTTTCAACGTGTGACTTATTAGAGAAGTGAATTCAAACCCTGCCTTTGAATTCTGCGGGGGTGTAAAATTATTTGCTCCTGTGGTGACCTTCACCGCTCAGTGCTGTGATCTGCTTGTTCCATTGTACCTTTTATAGCTTTCATTATTGATAATCATCAGTCTCAACAAGGGGACTTGGTGGTTCAAAAAGTGGAGCGGAAACACTGAAGTCACTACACTTACTTTTTATCTTACTGCTGAACTCAAAGCTACCCCTTTACACAGTCTGATCCTGCAAGAGCATTTCAAGTTTAAGATACAGTACATGTTAAGAAAAGATTAAACATGACAAATCAAAGCCACCAGAGGTAAACGTGGAGGTTAGCAGGTTAAATGTGCTTTTGCAAAACATATTGACCAAACATATTAACTGGAATATTGCAGTAAATCAGAAGATTTTTTTTTCATATATTAACCAAATGAAGACTGCACAGATTAAGAGATAAGGGATTTAGATAATTAATACTAGCACAAAATATTATCAGGTAAGTGTATTTATGACTTCAAGGGGAGGAAGTCTCAGTCTGATGTCTCCGGGTTAGAATGATTGCCTGTGGTGGAATACACCTTTGTCCAAATGTATTTTCCGTCTCTGAATGAGAACATGATCATGTCAATTATGTCCACTTGTTTTACTTTTCAAATTATAATAAGACAAAAAAGGTAGTGGAATCCATGTCAGTGTTAGTTCAGGTAGCACCAAGGAAGGAAATGTGGTCCAACCCACACAACTGTTTTTAACATGCTGAAACAGAAAAAGAAAAAGAAAGGAATCACCACATCATTTTATTAGCAAGAATAAAAATACATTTGATTTAACTTTAACAATCATTATGTAAAAAAGGAAACAAACACATGACGTATAGTAATGACCAAAATTAGATGCAGTTTTGTCATACAAAATCTACAGTATGTGTTAGGTTGTTAAGATTTGTTGGTATCCCTTCTGCTGCCTGTCATGCCATTAGGGCGACCATGTAAAATTTAACAAATATTTTATGACCCCCAGTCATAAGTAAGTAAGTGTGATCCTGTGATGAAACCCCCATTTCTTAAATGTGGACACCCACTTCAACAGTGAAGATTTTGTTGACCATACAGCTTCCCGTCCACAATAAAACTGTGAACGAATCTACAAGACCCACGTTTTAACCCATGTGCCAAATATAACTGTGATAGACATGATAATAGCACAGCGTTCTAATGTTATAATGCAAATATTAGTGTTCCATGACCTCTAACCACAAGAAGAAAAAACAAAACGCAAACCTCTGCAGCAAATGCAGACAAATAAACAAGATTGAGAAACCCCCTAAACACTGGTAAAGGTGACAAAAAAATCTAGTATACACAGTGACTTAGATTAAGGGAAATTCCCTAAGAGCCAATACTATAGTAAGACCCCTACTTCCACACATTCAGTGTCATTTATATTTTGTTTTTTCAAACAAACAATGAGGTCTTAATCCTCATATCTGCATTGTTTTTTATTTTTTCCCTGCAGTTATCTTGTTTTTTGTTCATCTCATGTATTATTGCTGAAGTACTTTTGCAAAGACAAAAAACAAAAAAATATGACTGCAAGAAAAGTTGCAAACTTGTATTAGAAAAAACAAACTTTTACAACAAATACAGAAAGAGTATGCATCCAACCATGCGTACGAACAAACAAAAAACATTAAAAACAAATATATGTCAAACAAACATTAGTTGTTAGAGAGTTTGAGTTCCACCTTCCATGAGTTTAATTCATTGACGCACCTGCTTGACACCGCCCACATTCAACAATCTTTGAAAGGACGCGTCGAACGTTGTTGGAAAAAGACTTAGGTAAAGCGTTTAGGTCCTTTATTTATTTCGGTTGTTGATAAACTTGGGTTTATTGCATGGATTAAATAATTTTCCCGTTAATTTTGCTCATCCGTCTTTAAACGTATTTCAGTGATTTTTTTTATGTCAGCTACTCGGTTAGCGTTTGCCAAAGCTATGTACGTGGCATTCGTTACTTAAGGTTGTATAACTTGAGCCCTTTGTTACCCATGCAAAAGATTTGTTAACAACAAATTATACAACTTCATCTTGTGTTTACATATTAGTGGTTTGTTTCAAAATTATTTTACATATTCAAGGAATACACAGTTTAATTTGTTATGTTCCACCAAGTCTTGATAACATGAAACAGCTCAAAGACAGAATAAAGATAATAAATAGAATAAAAGTAACGGTGGTTAGTTTGAATATAACCCATGCGCATGCCAATAATTTACGTAACTGTTAATCATATAATGCAGCATGTTCGTAGAACCTGTCTAAACTTGTCTAATCCTGAGCACCAAGGGCTTTGAAACTGTATTTTGTTTATATTCTATTTGTGTCTCTTTTTTTTGGATACTTTTTGAATGACCACAATAGCAAATTTTGACAGCAAATTTGCAGGAATCATCATCATATTCATCATATTTCTAACTTTTATAATTGCTCATCATAGAATTATTCCCCTTTGTGTACCGGTAAAGTTACAACTCCGTTGTTGCTTATTTCAGTGTAAACAGCCCAGAAAAGTTAACATTTGCACCAATAAAAATAAAAAAAGCAATGCTATGCTGTTTTGACTCTTGCACTTCTTTTGATTACTTTTTCTTCAATAGTGGAAGGATGTTTTCTGTTGGTGGCTTTTCTCAAGATTCCAAAGAAGTTGCAGTCAACTTGAACAAAATGTTGCCTGTGACACAAGGACCATCCAGATACCCGACGTATAAACCTCCTGGCAAAAAAGGTCCTTTCCAGCAAGTTAAACCTGGTCAGTTTGTAAGGATCAAGGCATTAATGCTTCAGATTATGTTCTTTCAACATCTGTCGTCAACAACAGTTTAGTCAATAAAATGTATATACAGTGAAATTGTATTGCTCTGTTAGAGTTTTTCTTGCATGTTTTACATCTCTTTAATAAAGTGTGTAACCTCCCTCTGAATTCACTTACATTTTTCTTCTCTTCTTAAGCATATGCTACGAAGCCAGTGGTATCACAAAAGGAACTGATTGACAGATATAAACGAGGTGAGACCCATGCTGTATCATTACTTCATCAGCTTGCTCAGGTTCTTCAGATGCATTTGGAGATTAAAGAAACGATTGCCCCAGGTAAAAAAAAAACTGTATGTCTTGTCTAGCTGTGTGTCATTGTTGTTTTTTGTCAACAATGTTTTAAATCTGCTTGCCAAGTTATCTGATCAAATTGCAGCTAGATAAAGAAGGTTGTTTTACTAAACATATGACCTTAGATCAGTGGTTCTTAACCTTGTTGGAGGTACTGAACCCCACTAGTTTCATATGTGCATTCTCCAAAACCTTCGGGGATGGCCACGCCCCCGCGTGTCATCACAAATCATATGAGTTGGGTGTGTGTCTTGTCCTCAACTGAACCCCTGAGACTGACTCAGTCCAGGTTAAGAATCACTGTCTTAGATGGATATGATATACATACAGACCATGCAGCAGTTTGAGCAATACTTGTGCATGTTGAAACATTGAAACCTCTACATTGTTTAATGATATTTAGGAACCTCTTTCCCATGTTTTGTTTAATGGAAGAACCAGTTATTGTTCAATTTAACCTACCTAGCTATTTCCCCTGTTTTAAGGCAATATCCCAGGGCTCTACTTTGCCTTTTGTGTGGTGATTGATGGAGTTCAGTATACGACTGGTGTTGGAAAAACCAAAAAAGATGCCAAGCTGATGGCGTCAGAGCAGGCTTTGCAGGCTCTGCTCCCCACATTAGATTGTCAAAAGACTATTCACCAAGAGGAATCAGGTTGGTTACAAAGGTGCTTTTTTTGTAGCAGACTAAAAATCCATTGTGCATTAACATGAGCATCAATGGTTTTATTCTAAAAATAAGTTAAACATATTTAATAGTTAAAAAGTCTCCTTTTAATTGCTATTTAAGGAAATCTAAAGCAGGGGTTTGTTTTTGTGAAGAATTCCATAACACAGACCTCATTTAAACTGATGTTGAAATTAAGTTGTTATTTCTAATAAGTTAAACATCTCTGTTCATTTGTTTTGTTGCATCTTTTAGATGTCTCTTCACTTTTACCAGTGAAAGAGTTCTACATCTCTAAGACCCCAAGCAGAGCAGATCCTGGTAAATTAGATACACAATCTAGTTGGTGAACACTTACTTTTGAAAATGAAGTACGGTACACTTGAACATACGTGTTAGGTATAAATCTTTCGACAGTTTAACTAGGTTTCCAATTTATTTGCTGTTCAGACAGGAACAAATCCGCCAACTTTGAAATCCCTCATGCTGTTCGAGAGCATCTTACCAAACTGATGAACAATCATGTGGAGTTCTTTACCTGCGCAGGCACTACAGCAGCATTCATCCTTCAGAGTTGTAAGTGAGCTCTTCCAGGGAAACATAATCTGTTGTTAGTATGGTCTATACATTAAGTAAGATATTGTGAAACAGGTATTACAACAAAATAGTTCAGAACTGGAGTGTAAATTAGTGGACAAAGGCGTTCAGGGACTAGAACACATTGGACTTTCTCTGAAAGAAACAGAATGTTAAAATAAACTAACAAAACCAGAAGAACAAATATCCAAAGAGATAACTACTGATGTGTAGGGGAAAATTGCTGTTCTATGAAGTAGGGTGATATTAGTATACCACACTCAGAGTGTAAAACGTTGTTAAGATGTACAGTTCACTTTGTTGTCTGCCCAACAGACCTTTCTTTGATAGGAAATCAAAGTTTTGATTCCTTCTTCCTACAGCAAATTCAAAGGTTTTACTTTGTGACTTCAAAGCTTTTAATTTGTTTGGGTGATTTCCCTGAAGCTTTTATTTTCTCATCCACTTTTCAGTTTGAAGTGTTGTTATCAAGACTCGCATCACAAAGGTAGCCACCTATATCTGCCAATTGGTATCAAATAGACAATATATGGCTAATTTGAAAAACAGTATTACATCTCTGCACAGCATAATAAAAACCATGTGATCACTTACAACATCTTTGGGGACGAGTGTTCAAAGACTAGAAAACATTGGTCTTCACCATCTCCCATTTAAGTTTTAGTTTTGGTGTAGAGGGCCAGTGTAAAAGCACAGATGTGATTTTGAATAGAAGGGTCAGTTATTTTGATCACAGCAATGTTAAAGTTGACACATTTTTAGTATTAGTATGCATCCGTGTCTTTGTGCTAGCCTTTCTGCATTTTTTCCTACAAGTAAACTATTGACTGACATCTGTTCTTGCTGTCTAGCTAAAGGATGTGAGGTGGTGGCTTTAGGCACTGGCGACTGCAGCCTCCAGGAGAGCTCTTCCACCGGTGGACGCATTTTGCATGACTCTCATGCAGTCGTTGTAGCTAGACGATCGTTGATGAGGTACAAATAAAGATACAGTTATATTACGGTATATGTGATACTTGTTCTTTTTGACAACATAGTGTTTAAGTGGTAGCAGTTGAAGTTACTGCATTTGTTGGTCAGTGCAGGTGTGTGTCTGCAACAATTTTGTCACACACACAAAAAATATTTTAAATGTAATCTGACATGTTGTTGTCGTCAGGTTCCTGTACAGGCACCTGCTACTGTTCTTCAGTAAAACTGCCAATTTGACAGAGAGGTCAGTCTTCCAGCAAAGTAGCAGCAGCAACCTTCTCACTCTAAAGAGTGGAATTACTCTTCACCTTTATCTTAATCAACTACCAAAAGGTGCAGCTCAGATTCCTTCTCAACTGTAAGTCAGTTCATCGCCTTGTGAGACTTTAGCTATGATATTCTGAGTGACTTCTGACTTCTTCTTGTCTTATTTTCATAAATTGTTGAAGTTTAGTGTTTAGCATGGTATAGGTGTGTGAACTGTGTTTTTTTTTTTAAATTATCTTTTTCTTTAAAGGCGCCTGAATCCTTTTTCCATGTCTGCTTTGCAAGTTCTAAATGAAATCAACTTACACCTGTCAGTAGATGGCAAGGTACTAACATTTAACATCTGTTTACTAACATTCTGAACATATAAAAATCTGTTGTGAATCAATCGTCAACCTGTTTCTTCTACAGGTTTTTTCAGTTTTCTCATCATCATTTGAGCTTTCCAACTCCAAAGTGATCAGTGTTTCAGCTACAGATAAGATCACTCAGTGGCAGGTGCTGGGATTCCAGGGAGCTCTGCTCAGCCACTTCATAGAGCCTGTCTATGTTCAAAGTATTCTCATTGGTGAGAAGTTGTCTTCAGGCTTTTTGAACTCATAAACAAAAAATGTATGTATTGTATTTTTAAAAGTGCAGTATGTTTTGGCTAACCGATTTTATGTTGACAGCCAGCAGGCAGGACCAGACATGCTATCCAGATACTAGGGAAATGTCCAGCAACTCGACTTATTTTGAATCAACTCACAAACTGAATTTGTTTTTTAATGGTGGGAGTAATAGTATTGTAGTGTTTAAAATTAGGCTACAAAATGTGCCCCTTCTATCAGTTCAGTGGTGTTAGATTTTTCCATCTCACTCTACTTGTTATAATCAAAATGACTACATGACCTGCATTGAAGAGGGAAACTCCAGAGTTGGTTTTAGTGAATGCCTTAAGATGACATATTAGTAAAACATCAATCTCCCTTCTGTTGCAATCAAGTCATGATGTAAGTTCTGATGCAACTTCAGCAACATTTATATCCTTTATAGAAGTAGAAAAGTATGTGTTTCAATGAACAATGAACACCAAAAACTTTAGTTGACACCTTTTAAGATCCCTTAAGTTCCTTAAAATTCCAGATACCTTTTTCATTTTTGTTTTTAGTACATTTCAGTTCAATGACCACTAAGTTCAATGTCTGTTTTGTTGAGTCTCTCAGTAAAATACTGATAATCTAAAAGAGACCTGAAGGTCTAGATGAAGGTTAGTCATTTTGAAGAAGTCTAAAATTGGACTACCTGTGAAATTTCTGTGCAAGACTCTAGGAAAATTTGACCTGTTACTGAACACTAAAAAAATAACTAAGGTGGAAATGTACCTTTTCTTGTTGGCTTCAGAAGATGTTCAAACCAAAAACAGTTGGCATTTTATAATCATTGTCTATTTTGTTTAAAGGTTACATTTTATAAATATTATATATTTTGCTTAAAGGTGATTCTTGCTGCAGCGATACCCGTGGCATGAAAATGTCTGTAAGCCAGAGAGTTGAAGGGATCACCTCTCTGCTGCCAATGTACTACTGCATGATGAGGCCACACATCAGACTTGTGCCCTCTGTGGCTGATACATCAATCAGCAGTAGCAGGATTGCCAACAGCTTAAACTGGAGTGAAGGAGACGGTTCCCTTGAGGTTGTGGATGGACTCCTCGGCAAGACCATTGAAGAGTAAGCTTTGAAGTGAATAGATAAAAGTTTAAATAGATTAAAATACAGTAGTAATTGGTAAGTTAAAACAAGGCAAACGGTCGGTCTAAGAGTGAGACAGGTAAAACGGCACATAGTTGTGATGATTTTTCTTGGATTGTCTTGTGTTAGGTCTCCATTTAAGAGTGGCTCAGCTCTGGCAAGTCGCTTGTGCAAAGCAGCAATGCTACATCGCTTTAAGCTAGTGGTCAAAGAAGCCCAGAGGCAGGAACTGCTGGTCACAAGCACCTACGGAGAAGCTAAGGTAAAAACAACACAACACTTTCTTATTATTTTATAAAAGAATATTTGCCAAAGATTAGCGATACAGAGTAATATTATACAGTAATTATAATATTCTGCTTTGTTGTTATTATGTGTAGAAGATGGCAAAGCCATACCAGGAAGCAAAGAAGGTGCTGAGGGCATACCTGTCTCAGCAGGGATTTGGTTCTTGGCCAATCAAGCTTTCAGCCATTGATAATTTCAGTATGTGAGTAAAACCACTTAGGCTATGTAACAAAAAAGTTCGTTGGGAAAAAGCAATTGTCAAACATGGATTAAAACCAATCCCTGTTCATCCTTACAAAGAGTAACTGTTAATTCTCCCAAGGAATAAAAGTTCTACATTTGTTCAGAATACAATGCAAGCATCAGTTCTAAATTTAGATAAATGCTCAGTTGTTATTTTCTATACATATGCTGTATATGCTGCGTGGATTGTATTACTTAAACCTCTGTTCCTTCGTAAAATAGTATTTTTTGACAATACTATGACGTGGTTAAGGTAGTTTTCAACAGTATGTTTTTTTTGACATTCAGTTTTGATTTCATTACATCTCAAAACAGACTGAAGCCTGAACCTTGATACCTTAAACCTATGTATGTTCTTCTAGCCTCATGCTCTTGATTATGTATGTTGTGCAACTTATCCTTCTGAGGACATTTACAATAAATAATCTAAAGCCACATTTTTCAAAAGAAAAATTAATTCAGATATTTTGAACATGGTAAGTTGACCTTAAATCGCAAGCAATGTCCATTTCTGTTTATACAGAAAGGGGTAACTAATTTCAAAAATGTTTGAATTAATTAGAGCCTTTATTGTAATTTTAAGGAATTACCACAATAAACAATATTTTCAAATTGATTTTGATTGATGCCTAAATCAGTGATTAAACACAAGAACATTGTAATTGCAGCTTTTATTACAGCTTCCATTTTAATAATTTAGGAGTTTAGGATCTTCACCACACTTTTAATGTGTTGATGTCAAAGCATCCTGTGCTTCTTCTGGCCGGTGAATGAACTTTAAGTGCATTACTGCCACAGACAGTGAACCACTGGTGTTGGAGCGTGGTGGTTAATGCACATGTAGTCGCGTTGGTCATTTGCTAGAGAATTGTTTTATCACACCATGTCGATGCAAACTTACGTATACACATACAGGAAATGCTATGGTTTCCTGTGTTTGGTATTTAACAGTTCACTTTTACTTTGGGTGTAGAGGAGTATTATGAATGGAGTGCTCTCTGTTTTGCCAAGTAGAGGGAATTTGCAGTGAACCTACTAATATATGTTCGTGGATCAAGGCTTAAAATGTACGTACAACTCCAAGTTTCATACTTAATTTAACATCATGCAGTGCATATTACGTTTTGACAGTTGTTGTGTAATGGGTTGCACAAACAGTGTGATTACTACCAATTTAAGATGTAAATATAGTTTGGTGCTAATGGTTAAATATTAGTTGTTTGTATTGCAAGTTCTATTTTCCAAGAAAGTATGGAGTCACGGTTCTTGTTGCCGTTTTCTCACCTGATGTGTCTTTGCTTGTTTCGTCATTAAATGGTGACTTGTTACTTATTCTGTGCTCTGGCTCTGTGATGTCATATTTTCCTCTTTGTCAAGCCTTGAGTAATTCAGTGAAAGTTTGTATTTTAAAGATGCGCTTAATCTCATTTATTATAGTTCAGAGTTGTTAGTTATGTGATAAACAGGATATGCAATTCTCTTGATGTGGTTAAACAGGGAAACAATCTAGAGCTATTTTCTTAGAAGCTATAGCCCCTCATGTGGTGATGTGCAAAAGGTAATGTTAAATTCACTGCACGCTTTTAAATATTGTCATTGACTGTACCTGTATGTTGGGGCTTGTGAATGTATTGTATCAGAATTTGTTTAAACAATCCAGATCAATATTTCTTCAACTTTTTTCAATGATGTCCTGTTCACATCTGTTAGTTTTAACATTTTTTTTAATTATTATTATTGAAATGGTTCAGCCTCCTACAAAAGCACTTCCCATTCCTCACCCACATTCATTTCTTCATTACTAAAGACAAACCGTTAATAAAACACACTATTAAAAGAGTTTGTGAAATGTTTTTGTTTTTAAAATTATACAGAACTAAGTTACATATTAAGTAACATTTATTAAGTTATACATTCAAGCTTGTATTTCCAAAATATTATGTTTCAAACAATAAATATATAAATAGGGTCCAGTCAGCACTGCCATGGTAAGAAAAGAAACTAGTGCAGTGTTGAGCGATATAGGAGTAGCATCACTAAAAACAAAATAAATACAGGAGAACATTTCAGTCAATGTATGTAGATGTGACTTATTGTATAAAATCCTTAAAACACAACACATAACCCTGTGCAAATTCATATCAGTACTTGAGACTGTCTGCAGTGTTTCGTCTGTCGAGCTGATTAAGAAGCCATGACGTTAAAGTCTCCAGATTTAGCTGCATTCTCCATCTGGAGCAATGATTCCATTTTGTTTAGAAACACATCAAATGGAGTCAATTGCCATCTCTCACACTCGCATTCACTGGACTTTGGTGGTTCCTAAATTCAGAACAATAAATATGATGATCTAAACGTATTTACAAATCAATGCCTGTTGTAACTTCATATTCATTTGAATAAATACTTACGTGATATTCTGCAATCCTTTCTTCTAAGAATTCCATGGTGTCGCCAACGTAGCCATTGGAGTTGTCACATTCCGCTGTGACTGTTCCATTAAGTTCCCTCAATACACACTCTGTTTTCCTCCTCAGAAAAAAGCTGTGTATAAAGCGAAAGGTGTTTGAGCTTCAGTTCACGGTCCCCACTGAGGAAACATGTGACTTGTGTTGTGTGTGGCTGTTAAAATTGTATTCACTATCAACACCAGGCAGACTCATTTCCTGCAATAGTGAATCTATACATGTGGTTTAGAAAGGCTCAACTCAGGCCTTGAAGCAGTGGCCTATTTTGTTCTGACTAACTTCTTTACCTGAAGACAAATTGTATTTGAGTGACACATTTGCAGCATGCACAGTAATGTTTAACTAAATAGCAAAGAATTGTCCTTACCTTCACGTTTGTTGGAGCATAGAATGTTGAACCTGGTGGCTGCAGATAGAAGAAAATAATTTATATTTCATATAGGTGCCAGAAACTAGAGTAAACGGACAGGGAGGAAAAACAGTTGTGAAAAACTTACACAAGAAACGTCACGTTGCAGATAATACATTTTTGAGTCCGTGTAAGGTGCTGCTTGAAAGCAACCAAAGAAAGTAAAGATCAAAATGGAAATCCTAGTAAAGTGTTCCATGTTCATTTGGAAGTACGTCTGTGTGATAAGGAAGTTGTTTGGTGGAGGTGATGTAGTAGCTTACTTGGCTGTTTGTGGTGCCTTTAATTTTTATAGCTGAGGAATGGAAAAGGTGGGTTGGATTAGTTGTATATCACCAGATGCACAGCATTGTCTTTCCTTTATATGACTCTTGGAATTTTTTTTTAAATGCTACTACAACAGGGTAAAATCCCTTCATTGTATCACATAATTTAGCTTGAGGCTCATTTGAAACTAGATTGACCCCCGGGTTTGTTGTAGAGACTTTTAATTATAGTTTAGTTTGTGTTATAGCACCTTTGAGGATTTATATCTTTTTATTTTATATTTGTTATTTTATCCTTTGCAAGTTAATTTGACAGATGAGTTAATGAAATACAAATAAAATAATAATAATAAAAATTTTACAATGCCCTAACTAAAGGTAATTTAACTTTTCAAAATATAGGCTTTGATTCTTAATAAAGTAGCTAAAATAAGTTGACAATTAATATAAACCACGGTATGTTACAGTTGATATACTGTTAGTATTATAAACCAATAAAATGTTAAGGTGAAAGTACAACAGAATGAAATACAGATGAGCTTGTTCAGCAAGCACAATAATTTGTTTGCAGAGGCATAATAACTTAAGTAGGCAGCAGCATCTCAAAAGTCGATATGATTTATTACTGATTGCCCAACTGTTTTTTATAACCATAGTTTATTTTTCCATTCAGTCTGTCACAGCTTATAAATCCTTTTGTGTTGGCGTTTTCCCACTTCCTCTGATTGGTGTCTTCCTGCCTCACCCACTGAAACGGAACACAGGCTAATGCACAAATATGTCAAACTAACAGTGACAGGTGGGCAAACCTGTTTGGGTAAATTTGAGATGTTCTGATGCAATGTGTGGCTGAAAAGGAAGAATGTCAAATCATGTGAAGGAAATGATTCCACTGCCAGTTACAGACAGAAGTATCTGTGGTTATCCATTTGTTTTATGGCCCTGTTTTTACAGAGACAATTGTCAACATACACACTAATTCGTTTAAAAAATGCATGCATGTGTTCACCTGGTCTATATATCGGTTTGGTTCAGTCAGATCCTTATCAGTTTCTAACTATTTTCCCTTAAATCGTTATCTTTGAGAAAAAAAAAACGTTTTTTAAAAACATAGAAGAGTGTGTTTCATTCTTAGGGGTTATTAACGTTCATGTGCTAGTTTTAAATTGTATTGTATTTAGCACCATCTAGTGTCGAAGTATCATTTCACAGTTTTATTTTGTAAGAATTTGATGCTTTTGACTTCAAAACAAGTTGATGATAACAAACTGTACGTAGTTTGTGACAAGACTTTGGAACATGTTTTTTTTTTTTTAAGAATTTTCTGTTTTCCTTCTCAGAAAAAAGTACTCTCATCAGTCTCTACCAATTTCTGGGATTGCACTTACTGTTGTCTCAAATTTGTACCAATACCTTTTAATATTTGCTAATGACAGTCCCATCTTAACATGTATGAACAAATCATGGTTTAATTTAATAAATATTTTATTAGTTAAATATCACACGTGACATACACATCTTTGGTCAATAATTCAATAAATATATAAATTATGAGAACCTCAGTCAGTGGTTTTAGGTCATTAGGCATTGTAGCACAGTTTGTTACATTCAATTAAGAAATAAAGTAAACACATTTCAAGTAATGTTTTAAAAAGACCATGAATCAACTCTGTGAGGCAGTGTGAAGGTAGCACGTGCTCTTAAGTTTTTCGATGAAAGATTTCATGTCTGTCACAAAGTCCTTGAACTTCTTCCTCTCCCATCCCATCCCAGAGGCTGTGCCCTAAATATGAAGAAAATAAGTTAGGTAACGGGCCACCTTTCAGTGGTGCACAGCTTTGACGCCTGTTTAAATGTTTACACTTACATTTGGACCATTCTCCAGAGCTTCAAGAGCATCCCCGGTTCGGTCCCACGGATCTATACAGTTGGTGTTGGCGTATTTTAGTCCTTCCCTAAATGTCTCCATGGCTGTGCCATAGTTCTCTTTCTGTCAAAGCAAAGTGCTGATTAATTCAAATGCATTACCAATGTATAACAATACCATCAGATTTACATCAGTGGCTGAATGATCATTTTAGCCACAAGTATGTTGTTTTTGTCAGAGCATCTTTGTAGAATAGTTGGAGGTTTGTGCTCTTCTGCTTGAATTTTCTGTCACTAATTCATTGTGGTTTTGATCATGTTTTGCAGCTGTTTGTTAATATTACATTTTCACGTTATATCTAAAGTGACTTACATATACAGGATTAAGTATGTGGTTACACTAAGGTGTGAACCCAGGACCGTATGCATGCAGAGCAAACAACAACATGAAAGCGTGGACTGATCTTACCTGTACATTTGTTGGAGATACAAAGGTCACATTTTCACCCTGTAAATAAAAAAAAAGAGTGGTTTAGAGTTTACAACATATTCATTTTGACAGTTAAACAATACTTAATTTATCAAACCCCTGCATTTCCAAATCCTATAACAACACATTGTCATTAAGAATACTTACACATTTAATCTCGTCCTTCAGACGACTGAAGGGCAGGTCAGAATCATTTAAGTCAAAGCATTTCTGAGGAGAAATCTCTCTCTGAGGAGTGACGGCTCTAGCTTGAAGGTACTCAAAGAGAAGGAACACCCCCAGGGCGATTCTAAGGCAGCGCTGCATTGTAAAGCTTGACGTTTGTTTCCTGTGAAAGTTGTCGGAGAATGAGTTTATCAGTGTCTTGTGATCTCCCGTTGTGTTGGTGACCTTTTTTATAGAACTTTTAAACGTGTCAAAGAGAGTGGGCTGGTAAAGGTGTGTTCTACCTCCCTGCATCATGAGGCCGTATTTTCCATGAATTATCTAAATGGTAAAATCCCAAAAGAATTAGGTGGGCACAGGTCATGCTCACTCGTAATTATAGAATTAAACTTTTTGTTTGTGTTTCCCTTTAAAGTGAAAAACTGGTGTACGTGTGTATATATATACACAGGTATGTACATGTGTTTTTATATATGTCCGTGTGTATATATATTTTATATATATAGATAGATTTGATAGATTTTAATTGTTCAGTGCTTATTGTTTTAGATCAGATTATGTAAGACCATGTTCATCAGATTGAACTTTATTTGTCCCACATTGGGGATATTGTTGTGTTGCAAAAAAACATCTTCTAAATGTAAAAGAAAGTAATATTGCAAACATTACAAGACATTTTTGGGAAAGGTAGTACGTTCGTATAGCACAAAGGCTGTTGTTTTGAAGTTGGAGCTCTTGGCTTGTATCCCATTAACAGTATTAATAGCTGTAATTGTTAATTGTGCAGTCAAAAAGAGATAAAATCCTGCGAGTAGGCTGTAGAGCAGTGCGTCATGCTCTCTGTGAAGTGTTCCACCCTCCCCTCTTGGGGGAATCCCCACAAGAGCATAGGTGGTTATCCCAGAATTTAAAAGTTAGATGTGGCCACAACCTCCTTTTCTACACCTTGTCACCATGGACACTGTCGTCACTACTTTTCTCACTTGCTCATGGTAGTGGCAATAGTTAGGTTTCACTTTTGAGGTTTCCTGAGGAATACCCTTAAATATTGAATGATAAATGGATTATATCAATGATAAAGAGGGTGCAGAAATTTCTATCCATGCAGTTTGTTACTTCTGTTTCCACACCTTAATACCAGGCTTCTGCTAACACATCAAGGAGAGATTTCACACATGTTGGCTGTGTGCCTGGGTTGTAGCACAAGATACACATTTTTTACATCTTCAGTGCTCATCTTATCTCATTTATGATTGAGTCATCCTTGCCACATGCTCACAATTACTGCTGTGTAAATTGTAGTGCCCATATTTGGTTAAAATTTCCCTTTGCTAACCAGATTAACATATTTTATTCCGATTGGAAATGTGTGCAGTGCAGGGAAAAGATTGCATTATTCAAATTAACGATCTCGCCAACTTATTTTAATTTAACATAAGATGAACATTAAAGCTACATGTTCTAAAATTGATTGATTAGTTAATTAAAATCATTTTAAAAAATTGAATTGAGTTAACTTTAAGTATTTATTTAAGTAAGCAGTTTATTCTTGGTGTGTCCTTCAATGGCTATTAGTGATGTGGAGGAAATTAAGGAAAGTAGAATATATAGTATAATATAGTATAATAGGATGACTGTGGGTAAATGCACGTCCCAAAAATCCACCCGAGCCTTAAACGTCAGCACTTACTAGATTACACCACGCGGAAAAAAAGGGGAGATAAAAACTTTTGTTTCCATGATAGACGTTGTGTTTTTCACCACAGGTCGCAATAGTGGAAGGATTAAAACCAGTTGTGTGTTTTTTGATTATTATTTTTTTTCTAAAGTATGATCAAACCTTGGACCCACACAACCTGAGTTTTTCCGCTCTGACCCAGTTTTTACGAGGCTCTAACTTTGACTATAAGATAAAACGTAACTAAGGAATAGTGATTTGAATTTAACAAAAACTGTTTCCAGCAGACTCTTGTGGAATACAATATGAGTATTTTCAGAAATTAGTGTTACATTATAGTTTTCACATAGGGTAAAAAGAACTCTTTCAAGAACTCACTTTCAATTATATTTAAACTTTGACAAAAATAGTTGCATTTTTAGAGAAGAGCCAATTTTAATTATCAAACAGTTTAGTTTTCAGCTTGCTTTGGTCCTACACAGTCTGACAAATTACAAAGATCATTTGTGTTGCATTTTGTATGTTACACCTGACAGGATGGGTTGTGATCGACACTCACAACTGTGGTTACAGCTGTAAAGATTTCATCATGTTTTGTGCTGCACCACTGTTTATTTGTCTGAACAGGCTCAAAGAGAAACTAGAATAACAGGTGGTGAACAAGACAAAAAGGGAGGTTTTTAACACATTATCTCATTATATAAAACCATTGGGAACTTTTATATTATATATCTTTTTTTAATCGTTATTATGAGGTCACACTAAATATTGAATGCTAATATGTTTGAACCAGTCCTTATTGTGGTACTCCATGTTAAACATCAACAAATTGTCAGCACATCACTGCTGTCGTGATTTCAATGGTTTTGCATTTCAGTGTTTTGCAGGTGAATTTTATTGAATGGTAAAATGACAAAAATCATCAAGTCTGCTATTTCTTTTTTAACTAATGAATCATTATGAATGCAATCTGTAATTTTCTAGCTCCCAAGACCGAGCAGTGAATATCCCCACAGTTAACAATGTTCACTTCTCTGGACATAATTCAGCAGCTGCTGCAGGTGGATCCGACTCCTTCAGGGCCACTTGATGTCTCAACAGATGTTGTGCTCAACCACATGTGTTTTCATCACACTGCAAATCTTGCAGCACGTGTTCTCCTTTTGAATTTACCACAAGCAAATAGCGGAGATCTGACCTAAATAAGCTGTGAGACGATGACATCATTGATTTGGCCAGGGTTTGACTAAACTTCATAGCCTGACTTCTAATATCACTGCTGTTCAAATAAAACTCGGCCAACACGGCCAGTATGGATGAACTGTAGAGTGTGAATAAATGGTAACTGCTGCTTCATACATTACAGTGAAGTAGACTGTACTACTGTTAGGTTTCTTTGGTTTCTCAGGCTTCCTTCATCAGTCCTAAAAAACCTGCATGAGTGTGTGTGTTTGTTAATGGTTATTGGTCTCCATATTTGTCCATGCCTGTCCTCCTGAGATTGGACTGTAGTGATTGATTCCAGACGCCCCAGCGGCCCATGAAAAAGCATGTAGTGATGTATGATAAATGAGTGACTGTTAATAATAGACTGATATTGAAGGACTTTGTGACAAAGAAAAGGAAACTTGCTTGGACTGTTCTCGAGAGTGAAACAGATGGCTGGAAGAGCTAAAGGACAAAAAAACACACTTGTCTCCAAGTGTTGGTGTTACATTAAACAAAGTGGCCGTGGTCTTTCAGCCTAAAGTTCTTTGATGTGTATCTTGACGGGCTTGGGTGGTACAGAAGTCCATATGAATCTTGGTGTTTTCTTGTTTTGGGTTTTTTCTTGTTTCTATTTGGAAACCCCCTTTGTCACATGGGAAGTCCACAGTAGTGATCTTTGCAGTTAGGGCATCTGCTGAAAAACACAACTGCACCTGTCATTCTGAGACTTTTAGTGGTGTTTGATTTGACTTGTTTGACATCATGTACTTTTCTGACCACAGAATTCAAACCTGACAGTGGTCATTAAACAACCACCTACAGCAGAGTAGGTGTTTTTAGACTTTTTTTGGCTTTGGAACAACTTCAAATGACCAACGTTATCTACCTTCACTGAAAATGTTAATGATTTAACTCATATAAACCGAACATACATAATATACACATCATGTTGGGGGTAGTGATTGGATGCATGCAGCTCAGTGACTGAATTCTTACAGAATATAGTCACTACTATACACTAGAATTATATTTATATTTGAATGTATTTATTGTGATTGCTCATGATTTACTACCACTCTCTTACTAGCACTACTGGTAGATTAAGATCGACTAACTGGACACACCTGACCTACAGTTTCAAAATACATCAAAATAGATTTCTGTCCAAACATGGTTCTGCTATTGTTTTTCCGTCAGTAATTTAACAGAGTTAATGTAGATAATGTAAAAAGCGTGACGCCAAGACAAAATGAAATTTTGTCTTGTCTCCACACTTAAACCAGTTCTCACACTTGTCCATTGCCCCCTCTTGTGGTGAGTTAGAATGTTGTCGAGAGTTCGCATCCATTGACTATGCTGTAGTACCACTATTATTAATACATTTCCCAATTTATTAATAATTAATGGATTATTAATACATTAGTGTTTAAAATAAAATAGTGTGAATAGTAGGAGACTATTAAGAAAAGTAGGACAATTATTTGTACCTCATGTGATTGCCAAAGAGAGAAGGAATGATTCCCCTCACTCAATTTTATTGGGTTACTGGCATTGTATGTTGTACTACATTATACTGTAGAAATAACACATATTAGTAATGTCTATATATTTTCCCTCCTATTTTGCAGGTAATACCATTTATAAGGTATTTATTTTATTGCCAGAAGGTGGCAGTAATGTAATTCTAACACCGTGTAGCAGCAATTTTGAACCGTGAAAATTCAGCTTTATTTAACATTATTTTCATTGTGTATATATTGAAACATAAACAAATAATGAAATTATAGTTCTCAACACATCGACCCTCTAATATGTTGAACTAACACTGGGTTGGACGAACCTTTACTGTATCATACATTTCATATTATAATAGATTTTTTTTTCTAAACCTAACGGTGCAGCAATCATCCGGAGAGCGAGAGTGGACGCCCGAAAATGATTAAGTCATTGTTTATTAATAGTATCATTATCTAGAGAAGTTCTAGCGCCAACACAGCAACACAATAAGGCGTTTTGTTTTCACACATCCCTTTATTGTTATTTAGACATTTCCTCATTTATTTCTGTATTACTTAAATACATCTCACAGGTTAAAGATATACAGTAAATTAACTTTAAACAATAACATTTTGAAAACTCGAAATCTTAAGCAAATATATTTTTAAATAGTACAGTTTGACATCACCATAATGAAACTCAAAATATTATAACAGCTTTTTTCAAAGATAGAAAAAGAAGTCCACTTCCACTACAGGTGAAAAAATTAAGAAACTACCAAGCCCAGTCCACTGGGTGGCGGCAAAGCAGCTTTATGGAAATACATTCTTTATGAGTTCGTGTGGACTCACCGCCACTTTATCAATAAATATTAAATAACTTAAATACAAAAAAAAAAAGACATGTAGACCTTTTACATTTAGCATCATTTCAACTTAGTGTCTCTTAGGCGTTGGTCATAACTAGGTCTTCTCTAATCAGCCCACACTCAGTCTGGTTATTGCCTAGAAAGGAGAGAGAGAGAGAGACTTATTTATTTGGCATATTTATCATTAATGTTTGGATTAAAGTAAAAAACCTGTCTCTTGTGTTACATTAGGGGTACACCTGAGGCAAAACTGTAATTCTGGATTATTAACAAAGTTAGCATTTGTAATTTCTAACAGTTTTAACATTTATCAGTGGTAAATCTGTAACACCTACTTAAGTTTGGAAATGATTTAATTCACAAAATCGCAGTACGTTTCCAGTCAATCATAAACACAATCCAGTTACTTTTGAAGTTATCTTTCCATAGAAAGTTTTTTAAGGCTACACAAATGTCATCTATGTTAATGTACAGCAGGAAGAAATAAATTTTTAGCAAATTGTTGAAAAAGATATACTGTATATATATATCAGACATATTTGACATTAAAAACTATCAAATTTTACAAACTGAAAAAATAATTGAAAAAAAATCTTAGTCCAAAAATCATTATCTGCTTCTGGACATAGTGTTTTAGAGTCACTGCATCATTTCTGTACCATATAGTACGCACATTAAAACAGTTTTCTGACTAAAAGAGAGGAATGTGGATAGTACAAAGTTCTCACCAACTGAATAAAAGACTCCAGTTTGTTGAAAAAAGCTTTTGGCTTTGCCTTAGGATATGAGTCACAGGCGCTGCATGTTTTCTGAAAGTAAGAGAAAGTAAAAATGAACTCTATTGTTCTCATTAAAGATGAAAGTGTTAATAGTCAATAAATGTTGATGTGAAACACTGAACAAAGCTCAGGCACTTACCGTAGAATTTCCTGAATTACAGAAGTTCACACCTTTGATCTAAATTGAAAAGACGAGATTTGCTTAAAATGATGAATTATGAGGACATTAGTGTCAATCTTTACATATTTCCTTTTTTATTTAATCTGCAGCTGTGAACTTACAGTCAGAGGGTTTTCGAGACTCTTGTGAAGCATGCTTAGTCTTTTCTCACTGACATTGAAATGGACCTTCATGGCTGCTCTGAAGCACCTCAAGGCTGACTGACCGCAACAGTCCTGCTGAGGAGGAAAATGTAAACAATCAACTGTCAGACAATGTTCAGATAAGATAAGTAACTGGAAAAGTGTGAATCACTGATTTATTTTTACTTTTCATCAGTTTTAAAATACTCCATTATCAGATAAGACTGATAGGAAGTCCTTCTCTGAGTACTCTGAAAATGTTCCAGTTTTTAGTTTCTGACATGACTTCATCATTGCTGTTGAGTTTTCCAGTCAGATGCGCACACACAAAAATCTAAACACTTGAACTGAAACCAACTAATGTTTCCAGAATGTTTTTTGTTCCTAAAAATACCTTCTAGCCTTTCTATTTGCAATGCATTTTTTTTCCAACTGAAAGTTTTGTTTACGCCTGCTGCTACTACTTAGGTCAAACCAAAACTGTAGATTACAACATGTTTGTTTGAATATGTGCATTCCTCCCAAATGAAAAATGAACACAGTAGTTAAAAAGTTCAGTCAGAGGATGAAACCATTTGTATTCTGGGCTATCATTATTGCCTTGGTCAGCGTTTAACATCAAATTAGTATTGTGATATAGTCTCAAACTCCTGTGGTTTAAGGTAAACTGTAAGCTGCGAGGGCTTCTCAACCTGACAAGTGAGTCAGACCTTTTCCAGCCTGCTTGCAAACATTCGGTTTGCTTGTGAGGCACGGTGAGGAAGTTATCATGGTTTTGTCTGATTACTCATCACATTTCATCCCCGAGAATGGGGACGCTATGAGAAAACACACTGAGCAGTCTAGAGTTGAGTCAACCGCGACTAGGTCTGACAAGAAACAAAGCTCGTCAGAGTTTACAAGTAAAAAGTAATACGCATACGTTTTCACATTCACGTTCATTTAAACTTAGCAAAAGGTAAACTGTCATGTGGGATTGAACAGGTCAACAGCAAAAGGCAGTAATTGTAATAATTGGTTCAGTCACACAGTGTAATAATTGAGTGACTGAACCACATTATGTCAATTCATTTAATTCCTTCAATTAATATTAATAAAATAATTAATAAAAATAGAATCATTAAATATAAATTATGAATGCATTACTGGTAAATAGAAATTAACTTGATCGTAAGGCCTTTTTATTATTAGAGCTTTAGAGCTTTTATTATTAGAGTTTTATATATATATATATATACAAATATAAATATTCAGTGTTCAAGTTATAAGTTTGAGTATAAGTGTACATACAAATGTACAACAATCACTCCTGAAGTTAAGTTTTGTAATGTATTTCAATCTTATACGCAATCAGAGTTTCAGTGTTAAGAAAAGAAGAAAAACAATACTAAATAATAAAAAAGTCATTCTATTGTAAGTTTGCAAGAATTACATCTGGACTTGTTCATTTTCTTTTATCGCTCGACATGTTTTTGATTCACACTTTCGCTTATTTGATGTACTCCTACAGTTGCTGGCACACGACAATTAGTAACAACAGTAAGTGGGAGAACAGTAACATGACTAAGCAACCACAAATATTAGAAGTGGAGGGGACCGTAATGTCAACAAAACATTTAAAAAGCCAGTGAGCTGTTCTTACCTCATTGGTCTCCGGTGTATATATCATCTTTTCATTGTCCTGCATGAAACAAAAGATGAGCACTGTAGTTATTACTGTAACTGTGGAGATTAGAAAAGTGGTTAAAAACACAACAACAGAGGAGTTTATCGATGTACCTGAAGTCCGTCTTTCACATAGGACAGCTGCCTTAGAACTTCTTGTAGTTTTCTGATTTCAGTTGTTCTGACCACAGCACAGCAGTAGACTGTGAGAAGGACGAGAATGAGCTTCATGGTTTCAAGAGTCGGTACTAGTCACCCAAATCAGCAAAAGTGACCTAATGATAGATTTAATGGAAGTGAAGACTGCTGTGGTACTTACCTTTATATAGGTATCCCTGAGGACACAGGAAAACCACTTGTGCAGAGCTGGAAAGCTGAAGAAACTGCTGTGTGAGTAATGAATTTTCTTTTCCACTGGCAGTCACCACTACGTGATTCTCGAGTGGCGTCAAGCGGCGCGTGCGTGTGTGCACGGCTGCGTGGGGCCTATAGATGCAAGTGTGTGAACGTATGTTTGTTTGAGTGGCCAACTGCAGGAAACTACAGGAAGACGGCACTTCCCATTTTCACTTTGAATCATGGAGTCACAGATCAAGCGTGTCATAGATAGTCTTGTGGGTGTGGTATCGACGACCTGAAGAGCCTCCTACACCTACACAAACTGATGTTGCTGTCGGTCTCTGTTGTGGACTGGCAGACTTCCTCCAGCCCTGAGAAAAACCTATCCTTCTTTTGATTTCGCACTGACGCTAAGAATAAAGAGATGACAAGATAGAAACATTTTGTTGGGGTCAGAGTGCGAAAGTTCAAGTATTTTTTATAGGGAACATTATATTCTCTAAATGTGCCGCTTCCCTTTATCAATGGCAAGACAGAGAAAAGTCCTGTTTCATTTGAGACTTGTTTGGTAAATCCCAGCAGAAGTAAGTTAAAGTTTTGGTTCACACCCTTTGCATTGTGTTTTCATGTAAAGAATATTGTTCGACTACATTTTATGTAGAAGAAAGAAAAGCAATTTTGTAAAATTGTAAAAAACAAACAAAAAAAAAACAACCTAACTTTGCAATTACAAAAGAAAAAGTATTGTTGTCTCTGAATGAAAGACAACAGGCCTTGATTTTTTTTTTTTATCAAGTCCATGCTTTTTGCTTTTCCTACCCAAATACTCATGGTTGGTGGTGCTGGTTATTATTGCAGCCTCCTTGGCCATGTTGATCAGTGAAAATCATTCAAATTCGAGTATTTTTTGACACATTTTTACCTAGATTGCTGCAATTGTGCTGTGGTAATGATGCCTTTTCTTAAACATTAAAATAAACATGTAACTCTTGCCCAACTTTGTCCGACTGTCTTTGGACCTCAGGATTTTGTAGTGTAGTGTTCTAGTCCTGCTGTATTCACACTCAGTTTTTGTGGATTGGACCCATTGCAGTTTGAAGTAGATCTCTGTTCATAGATCTGTCATCGTCGTGAAATCCATTGTTCTAGTTGTAATGATCAATGGTCAATGTACACTCTGAAGCAGCATAAACTTTATAATGAGAGGCCCCACAGACACGCTCTGTGAGTTTGACACGTGCATAACAGTAACAAAAAATAAACTGCAGACCAACATATTTTTTTATCAACAACAAACGCGTTGATAGTGTGCACTGTCTAACATGTCAGCTGACTGACCATGATGTAGAATGCAAAAAAAAAAAAAATGTTTACTGTGTTTCCGTTTGATTATTAATGAAATTGATTATTCTTAGGAGATTATCTAATCCCTTAGTCAGTCAGTTTAGGCGCACGTCAATCTCACGTCCAATCTGTCTTCCACAAGTAGCGGGGAGGAAATGAGAGTGACACTGAGAGAGAAAACCCCTCATTCATGTTCTCTGTCTGAGTGACGGCGTAAGGGAAAAGGTGGGTGGGGGCTTGGGTCGATCTCTGAGGTGCTTCACCGTGTCTTATCAGGAGTCCCTGATAAGGGGAAAATGCTACATCCTCAGGTAGACCTGAGATGAATTTTCCTTCTCATGGAGGAACCTTCTCCCAGCCCAACTGGTGTGTGACTTACTGAGCATCTTCATCGTGATGAGCTGGCAGTCTCATAAGAAGAAAGTAACCTAAAAGTGGAAAATATTTGGCAGTACTGTTGTAAGATGTGTATTTTTGTATGTGTGTGTGGGGGTAGTGTGTGCTCCAACTTTGTCAGACACACACGCATGTCCAAAAATATTCAACTAAATGCTAACGGTGTGGAGGAGCTTTTGTCACCAGTGTCAGCATTGTGTTTTTTGGCTTCTGGGTGATTTTCTTGATTTTCTGGATTTCTATTTCTATTTAGACTTATCAGTAAATAAACCAAAGGGCAGAATAAACTAGTTATGTTTTTGTCTTTGGTCAAAGGTTGGTGTCTCAAAGTCAAATGAGTCAAATGCCTTAAGTTGTCACTGCCTTGAGTTTAAAGTTCAATTTAAAAAAAGAGCTATAAAAATTGTTTTTGTTAAATATAAATACTATGCAATATTATAGTGCAAGCAGCTAGTACTGTTGTAATACCTAAAGTCTAACTTTAGCACTTTTTAAGTATTTCAAAGTTTGGTCTAATGGTCTCAAGGCTTCATAAAATCTTATGTTGGTGGTAAAAAAAACAGTGGTGGCAAACCAACAAAACCACTATAAAAACACACTTAAACCTAAACAAAACACACTGCATACAAAATACATATCTATTATTGTTATTGTTATGTATATATCACAAAATACATAACAGTAATAGTCAAATTAAGATAATGTCCTTTGTTTGTCCCAAAATGAGGAATTTCACAGTGTTGACAGCAGCGGAGTGCAGTACAAGGTATGAAAGGTAAACGTATACAAGTAAAAAGTAAAGGTATTGTGAATTTCAGATTTTCTTTTTCTGTATTGCATGATAAAGTATGTAATGTGCTTTTGTATTTTTGAGCGTCAATCAGTGATTTGAATTTAAATGGAGAAAAATGAAACTACTCTAAAATCTGACATGTTAGTTTAATGCCAACAAAAGGAACTAGAGCTCTAACTTCGTAGTTCGTTGTTTTATTTTGGTACTGTAATAATAAAGACACAGGTACTTGTTTCTTGTCAGTTTTGAAGGGCGCTAAAAAAATAGACATAAGATAAAACTGATGCATTTTTTGAACACACATCCCACTTTTAAATAATTATTTTAAAAAGTTAGGCTTCACCTTTGGCCCTTCACCCCAGTTTCATTAATGATGTAAATGTAATGCAGATTTTTTTTTTTTCAACTTTGTCACTATTAAGCAAATGCATGAAGTCTTTAATAAGTGGTTCACTTCCTACTCTCACTTGCTGTAGTGTCATTTCCTACACTGCGGTCTGTCATTAGTAAACAGCTTCATTTCCGGGGCTTGTATGGAGAGTAGGTGCAGGGTTAAAAATTGCCGACAATACGCACATACACACGTAAAAATACTACTGTGGAGTATTGTTAGTTTTAACAGGGGCCATATTCTGATGAAAACTCCATGATGTGAGATCCACGTATGTAGTTAAAAGGAGGTGAGTGAGGAAAGGGAGAGTGCACGGCGTTACAGTAAGTGCACAGGAAGAGAACAAAGAGCATGTGGGTGGGGGATCGCCTGTTTAGGTCCTGTTCACCTGAATGAACCACAACAGGAATGACACAGCTTCTTTATAATACATGGTTTGATGCTGTGATTACCAACATTAGATTTAGGTTACCTATATTATATTTCCAAATAAAGACAAGGTTGATTGGCAGTTGAAAGGCTAGGTTTATATTTGAATAGAGAAATGCATAATCGTGCAACAAAAGTATATATGTATATGTGTGTATAAATATATATATATATATATATATATATATATACACACATATATAATTTACACTAATAATTGTTACAACTGGGCAGTTTGGATAAATTCAATCCAAATTTTTAACTATATTTACATTTGTAGGGTTTGATATTTTTCATAATCGGTTTAGTAGCTATCGTTATTTTTAGTCACCATTAGCTAACACTTTCTTACACTTTCTCTTTCACTTTAATAAAATCCAATTGTTTAATAGATTAAAACTATTAAAGTGTCAAGCTCTAAAGTATATGTAAATTAAGGTGAGAGTTGAGTAGTTCTTTTAAGGAAATGTCTGTACAGTATATTTTACAAAACCAAAAATTACTTAGAAATCTGAAGAAACTTACATAAATGATTAACCTGTCTAAATAAAATGTTATTTACAAAAACGATCTGTCTAAACTGTGAGAACAAACAAATGTTTTTAAACTAATTCCCCAAATGCCTTAACAAGCCAGAGGGAAATATCTATTCATTATTCCTTATCTATTCATTAGCTGAGCCACAATCTTTGAGCTCACTTTATTTAAAATAGTCGCACATCCTTCGGCCAATATGGATTAATGGAAGTGTGTTAAAAGCACTTCAAACATTCAGAATTTAAAAACATGTTTATGACACGTCATCCAATAATCTTCAGTGCTGTTCACCCTGTGTGTAACTACTTAGAGTATTAGCTAAGGGCAGTGAACACAAAGATTGACATTAGTATTTTAAGAGATCACAGCACAAAGCTTAATGCTTAGCTTGAAAATTGTTCACATAATATGAATCCAAACATCAAGTTTGTCAGACTGTAAAAACACGCTTTGATACACTATTAGCTAAATTTTAAAAAAAAAAAATCTCTCTTTGGAGGTTGAAGTCAAAGCTCTCCTCAGTGGAAGGTCTGCCTCATCTAAACCTCCTCTGTTGCTCTTCAGCTGTTATACCCACCTATCCTCCGCCATTCATCCATACATCTTCTGTGTGGTCTTCAGTCTTTCCCTCCTCTCTGGCGCCTGCATTCTTATTGTTTCAGTCAAATACGTCCACTGTCCTCCGACCATTTCCACATCTACTCCCTCAAGTTGTGTCCAAACTTTGGTCATCAAAAAAAGAAAAACTCTTTTTAAGATGTTTAAGACTATGACTACAGAAGAAAGCAGACGTACCAGTGATGCAGTGACTCCTTGCTTCTTCTAAAGCACAGTGATTGCTAATAGTCTTCAACTTTGTCTCATTCAGGGGGCTTGCAATGACTTGTTGTCTTCACAAATGCTGACACATTTTGAACCTTAAAGGGTTAATAATGCACATAAGGTTTATTACCAGCGTCAAGTTGTTTTGGAAATTGATCATTTTATTGGAAAAGACAGCGAGCGTTTAGCGGTACAGTGGGAGTATTGAGCAGACAGTGTGATGTGAATAGACTTTAACCACAACGGTAGGGGAATAACAGCTGAGGGGCCGTGGAGGTATTAATGAGCCGGAAACTGCCTCTTTATTCAAGCACCAAAATCCAAATGGAAAGTTCTGTTCTTAAATAAACAAAATGTTCAGTCTTGAACAAACGCCTACACATTCCTTAACGCCTGATACATGCTAGCGAGTCTAGTTAATAATTTTAAGTGCAAAAGCTTTACAACACTTCACAAAAGTTAAATTAAATTTAAATGATTCAAATTGCTAACTTTTTCGCAACCCAACACATTTAAACATCACAGAGTTTAACCATTTACTATTTGACAATATTTTTGTCTGTGTTTAGTTAATGCTATTTTAACAATTTTATTCATAGAATGAATATACTTATACGTATATACTGCAAGTATATACCTGCAGTGTTCATGCTACATTTAACCTATATGTTACCTAAATATGATTAAATTCTGACTTAGTCATATGACTTTCAAGACTGTCTCATCAGCACTGTCTGTGGTCACCGAGTCATTCTTTCTGAATTCAGTGCAGTAAACACAGCTTACCAAAACTTAAGTTTACCTTTATTGATTTTTTTTTAAGTCTGTCTTTTTCTACTGATTTAGAGACAGAAGTACAAACTGTGTTGTCCAACTCCTGTTAGATTTTAGATATAGCGATGTTACACCATTGGATTTTTGCTATATTTTAGTCTTTGTTTAGCTAAACTCTATTGTTTACCTTTTTTTTTTGGCCGATTAGCAGTATTCTAGTTACTTTTCAGTGTTTTATGTGCTAACTTTAAAGGTAAATATTTTTCAATTTCAATTGAAATTAAGCTGTTCTTGGGAAAAAAAAAGTTAAATTTGAGGTAAATTTTTACCTGGTTATTTAACAGTAACACATTTCATTTAGAAATTACTACTCAAGAATTCTTCCAAGATTTTACTATATTAAAATCCAATATTAATAATTTCTTGGTTAGTCTTGAATGATCTTTTTTTAACCAACTTTTGTCTAATGTAAAATTATGTGTTTTGGCAAACCTTTAGCCATTTTGACTAAGTTCTTCCTGTTTGGCCAAATTTTCTTTATACTGTCATTTGTGATAATCATGAAACCAAACTATAAAGCAGGTCAATTGATCAGCACAAATGTTGTTTTATGTGCTGAATTGAGCAAAATGGTCCAATTCAGAAGATACCAATTTCAGAATTTCATGTGTCCACTCAAAGCAAGCTGTAGCGCTGCATTTGTTTCGGGTCTCAACTGTACATGGTCTGCTTTGAACTCTGGGGAATTTGGCTGGATTTGAGTCACAGCGAGTGACGTAAGTTACCTACTGAGTAAGTTTAGAGAGACTGGCCTTTTGATTTGGCTCATTTACATCAGCCCCAAGTTTCAGAACAATAAAAACAAAGTATCATAAATATTGAGCATCAAAATATCCTGGAATTTCATTTTGCCAAAAAGTGACGCTTAAACAGTTGAAAAATGCTGAAGTTTCCAACATTGTTTCCTAATTATGTTATGGTTTCACATTAGTTTGTGCTTTAATGTGAATTGTTGAACATATAATGGCTTCAAGGAGCATGTGTTTAAGCATCACTGAATCAAAAGTTCTGAATTTGGCATTTGGTGAATCTGCATTTGCATCAGTACAAACAATTCCCTTGTAAAACCTCCCAGTCTCGGGGCATTAATTCATATTTTCCGTTTGTTCTTCCACTGTTGACGACAGGTAGAACTTTCAGAATCAGTAGCAATCATCCTCAAAATAATCAACAGCCGTCTGGCGGTTCGGAAAATCACGTCACTACAATATCCTGTTTTTTTTCTCTCTCTCTTTAAACATGGTATGATGTTTTGGCCAAAACCAGACTTCCGCTGTTTATCATCAGTTTATCGTTAATCATCATCAGCGGTATTTTTTAGTCTTTACCTCAAACATGATCAGAACATGTAGGTTAGTGAGCGTGTGTACTGCATTTTCAGACGATGAAGCATGAAGTGAGAGTGACTTTTTCAGAGACACTCATCTCAGCTTTACATTTGTCATCCAAGTTCTGGTTAGTCGACTGCGAGTTGACTTTCACTGTCTCTTCATCACTGTCTGACCGTCGCTGCTGTGTTGTGCTTTTAAGAATTCACTGCAGTGAACAGTTTACCATAAATACCTTTCATGAAAAAAGTTCAACTTTCCGTTTCTACAGATAAATCATAAAGGACAAACTGGAAGAACTGTGAGTCGAGAGCTTCTCTGAGGAGAAATGAAAAATGTTTTGCGAGTCTACATGAAGTTTAAATTTAATACTTGAGATTGAGACGACGTGCCACAGTCATTAAAATGAGATTAGACAAATCACTAATGCTGAAATATAATAATTTTCAGTGTAGAAAGTTGTCAAGGTAAAAATTGGATTAAAATATGTATTTATTTACAAATCCAGTCTTTAAAAATAGCTGCAGTAGAAAATTTAGTTGTAAAAAAAAAAAAATCACATAGGGATTCATGAAGAAATCTTAAAGCTAGTCTTTAGTAAAGATTGGTCTTCTTCATAATCCTCAGAAACTCCTGCTCATTTACTTCACCGTCTCCATCCTGGTCTGCTTCATCAATCATTTCCTAAAAAGGAAGAGCGAGAGGAGAGGACAGAGAGAGAAAAGAAAACAGTAAGCAAGAGACTCAACATACACATACAGATTCTATGAAAGTTGCTGGGTGGTCTAGAAACGTTATGTCAACATTTCACTAAAATATTTAGAAAATAATTCTACACTACAATGCTGAAGACTCCAAGTTAAATTGGGCTTTTTTATTTCTAACTTAAAAAAAAATTCAGTAGATCCCAGGCAGGTGCAAAGTCTTCATGACATGAATGTGTCCATGTAATTCTTTTGGTTTGATGGTAAAATTATTAAAATGTTAGTTCATAAGATTTGACAAGGACATAATAAAGGTTCAATAAAATAAAAGAGCCACACACACATTTCAAAAGAAGAAGAAAAATGTATTTGAGATCTGAAATGTCTTGATTCTGTAACAGTTAGCTGCATACAATTTAATCATTAATTGTTAACAATCGTGGATGGATTTGCAGCTTAAATCAAATAAGAGAAAGCTGAATGGGTAATTGAACAGTCTGAGTATCATGTATTAATTTTTTTTTCTGTCCTTTGTGTTGCTGCAACATTATCATTTGTCAGTTTTTACCAGTGTGGCATAAAGCGGTTCAATCTAATCTAATCTAATCTTTTTTGTTCTTTGATGAACACATCTGTATCCTCAGCAGATGATAATTCAGAATTACTGTATGTTGAATTGTAACTCCAAATCTTACAAACCAGCCCTTTAGAAAATACTAAATAAGCATATCTATCGAACAGTCCAATGAGATTCAAAGGGAATATAGTGTTGAAATCTGATGTAAGTAAGAACATAAGCACAATACAAATGCTATAAATAAATCAATTAAACATAATACCTGTAGCTCCTCATCTGTGAGGTTTTCGCCCAGCTCTTTGGCCACTCTCTTTAGGTTTTTAAATGAGATTTTCCCAGTGCAGTCATCATCAAACAGACGGAACGCCTTCATAATTTCTTCTTTGGAGTCTTTTTCACTCTGTTAACAGTCAGCCAAGACAATGCAGCAAAAAACAGGACAAACCAAAATGACATTGTTTGATCTGAAATCTCAAGGTTGAGATGTTGTGTGTTAGGAGTCAATAAATATCCATGTTCACCAGGTAGGGGGAAAAAAACTAGACAAAGGAACAAAAGCTTCATAAGTTTGAAATAGTACTGCAGCTTATTTGCTGATTTAAAGTTTTAATATTATAAGGATTCTGGTTCTTCAGCAGTGGCTAGGCTGTCATCCATCTTATGTCCCGAGCCTATAGTTGAGGCTGCAGAAGGTCAAAAAATATATAATCTATCATTTAAAATTCCAAAACTTTGAACAAATAAACACTAGGACAACTTAAGAATTAACAACCAAAAAAGGGACTCGTAACAGTAATAAGTAATAAGGCCAAGTACTGTGTTAGACAAGCATTCTTACTTACTCTTGTTTCACTTCCAAAAGGTTTTCAGGTTCACTCACCATTTTCAGTGCCATCATACTGAGAAAGTCGCTGAAGTCAATCGTTCCAGAACCTTCCTTATCAATGTCTGCAATCATTTTCTTAATTTCTTCTTTCTTTGGCTCAAACCCAAGGGCTCTCATGGCAACCTGTGACGTGAATGAATGACCAGTATGATTTCTTTGGTATGTTATAATTGCTTAATGTGATGCAGGAAAACAAGAACAAACCTTCAGCTCCTTCACGTCTATTGTCCCAGTGCCATCGGTGTCAAACAGATCAAACGCCTCCTTGATTTCTTGTCTTTGCTCCTCTGTCAGTTCTATGTTTGGAGGAATCTTTTTCCTCGGATTAGCTGCAGGAGTTTGTTTGCGATAACCTGACGCCTGAAAAAGAGCAGGTCAGTTACAGATTAATATTTAGGGAGAAGATGCAAAGAGTAGTGAGACCTCCTGTGATGTATGGTTGGAAACAGTGACACTGAAATTTAAGACAGGATGCTAAGCTTAGTGATAGAGTTAAGATGTAAGTTTTGTTGTTGTTGACATGACCAGGATGGACAGGGTTTTATTTAGCTGAACCTGAGAGGCAATCAAACTTGGGCAGTTTGGTTGTGATGAACTGTTCTGAGTAGATGTACTGCAGTATAGATGGATGTTAGAGATGGAACTGCCAGGAAGGAAGAATAAGGAAATAGATACAAAGATAGTGGAACAGGACATAAACATGAAGAATAAAGGTCGAATGTTGCCGTTCAATATTCCTGATTACTGCTGCTAATACAAGTACAAAACATGAAATAAGAATAAAATCAAGAACCCATATTTCATAAAGCCTTTGTATTGAGGATCATTTTTTAAACCTCTTATTCCAGGAACAAAGGATTTAAACTACTTGCACTACCAATTCTAACCGTTGTGTCATTTGTGTCTTCCGATGTATTTGTTGTATGATTTTAAACTAAAATTGTGTGTTTTGAATTATAACAACAAACTAAAACATCACCAATAAAGTTTTAAGTCAACTGTTAGCAGCATGCGAGGCTAACACTGGTCGTCATGCTCCTATGTGGGACCAAACAAAGCTCTTAAGTTAAAATAACTTAACGGCATTGGCCTCCTCCCTTACGCCTCGGATTTAAACACTAGAAAACATATTTAGTTTGTATACTATTTTACCATATTAGTGAAAGATTTCCGCAAAATAGTCGTCAACGTTGAGTTTTCTTGTTGGACGTAAACAAATCCAGCAGCACTGACAGTTTTTTTAGTCTCTTTAGAGGCACGGCAGCTGTCCAATAGGAACGAATACACTGGCATGACGTACCCGTAGTATCCAATTGTAACATGGCGAAGGAGGGTCGGTAGCCGGATACGCCAATCGCTGCAATCGTTTCTCTGTCTCCCAGCAACCAAGAGCCTCGGCGCATGCGCAGTTAGTACATCATCGTAAAGCTGAAGCAGTTGGAGCAGAAAGAAAGCTTTTATACGTCAAAAAAGAAGGTAACGGCTTTTATTAACATTAATCAACGTTTATTTTAAAAGGAACGCCTCAGAATTTAAATATAATTCAGTCTTTAGTCCTGCATAACTCATTAGTGATGGTTTAAGAAAGTATTTTTTCTGAAGACAGCATGTTAGCTAAGTGGTACTGCATCTGTGCTCTGCAAACGATGCATTTGCTGTTCACAAAATTACATTTGAGTGCATTTATTGTACTTAAAAAAGAAAACGTTAACAGAACTGAAAATCGAATGGACAATAAATATGATTAAAGCTGCTTAGTAGTAATTCCTGAGTGTTACTCAGTCCTGCTCTGTTAATGTGAAACAGAAATCTTTTTTCAAAGATCAACAGTATTATCAATGCTTTTTAATCTTGTTAACATTGTTAAATTTAACTTCCCTAAAACCAAATCTATATTATTGCTATTGATTTTCTGCAAATGAGAAACAAAACTGTTTTTTTTTTCTTTTTTTATCATTAGGGGGATTCTTCAGTGATGCTTGGATGTTCAGTTCTAAACTGTCGTCAGCATGTGGGCCTGCAGAAGCTCGTTGCAATGGCGGGAATTGCACATTCTTCTCTTGGGCCTACAAAAAAGTTGAAGTTTATTCAAGATGATTCAAGCGGGGAGTCTGCTCTTGCTTGCTCCTGTCATCGCATCCTTGAAAACCTAGAACTGACCTGTGCGGTGAGCCAGCTTGTGTACGAGACCGTTCAGGCCCAACAGAGGGTCTTTGGCACAGGCTCAGGATGTCTGCTGTTTTTGGCAGGGGCATGGAGCCGTGCTGCTCTGGAGTGTCTTCACAGAGGAATGTCTGTATCAAACATAATCTCTGCTTTGTCTGAGGGCATTGAGATATGCATAGATGTTTGCAGGAAGTCTAGTATCTCAACTGACGATGTGGGTGTGGTGCCATCAAAAAGTCTGCAGGCTTCTGTAAAAGCTATCATGGTGCCATCCAGGGAAGCATTCCATCTGAAAGGATCAATAAGTGTTGGTGACAAAACTCTAAACATCAGTGGACAAAGGAAAATTAAGCTCAGCAGACATTTTTGTGGGGTTGAGTCTGAAAATCTCTCTTTAGCACAACAATTTCATCAGCCTAAGCCACCAAATATTCATCACATTGCCGAAGGATTAAGACATGGCTGCATTAATGCAATGAATCTGGTTCTGGAAGTGCATCAGATGCAATCAAAGAGTCATGAGGACATCAGCTCTTCTTCATTTGACATTAGCCAAGTGATGACATGTGTTGTACCAGGTTTGCCAGAGGAGCATGCTAGTGTTTCTTCAGGCTGCATTGTTCTCTTGTCTGCTGAACAAACTGCAGTTGTCCATCTTTTGAAAGAAAAACCATTAAAGGTGGCTTTTATTAATGGGGATTTGTCACATACTTTTCGCCATGTTGGCTTCATAAGGCCTGTAAGGATACATCGCGTGATTGACCAGTCAGCTATGTCAGGTCCGACCAGTGAGGAGGTGTGGATGGTAAAGGTCATGACACTTCTGCTAAACCTGGAAGTGAACCTGATAGTAGTGAGTGGGCATGTGAGCAAGAATGTGATTCAGTGCTGTTGTAGCCATCGCATTCTCACAGTGGAAAAAGTGAAGGCTTCCTTTTTGAACACAATAGCTAACGCGACAGGTGGCGTTGCAGTCACTTACGCCTCGCAGTTGAATAAGCACTGTGTTGGCACTGGAGCAAAGGTGACGATTTGGAGAGACCTTAGCGGAACTGAGAGGAAGTTATCAGCTGTGAACATTTCAACAAGCGGGAGAAGCGGGTTGGCTACAGTGGTTCTCACTAGCTGTGTCCATGGTAAACTGCAGCTCCTGGAGGATCAGTTCTGGGCCTGTGCTTATCGTTTACACCATGCACTAAAAGACAAAGCCATTCTTCCTGGTGCTGGAGTGACAGAAATGCTCTGTATTTATCAACTTCAAAAGCAGGCAGTGCATCACCCCAGACAGAAGTCAGAAGAAACAGAAAACCCTTACAGAGGGGAAGTGTTGCCCCTCATGGCAGAGGGTTTAATAGATTACATATCCACTGTAATGGTGAACACTGGAAAGTTTTCTAAAGTCACAGCCAGGACTCTAGTAAACCAACAGCTGCAGGACTGTGCTGTACTTTCAGACTTTAAAGCCAAGTTCTCACAAATTCTCTTGGACGATGTAACCGAGGACAGCTCATCTACCTCAGCCACAAGTTATGACAGAGCACAGGAAATGAAAATCTACGACAATCTGAGTGTGAAACTGGAAGCCTGGAGGAAAGCTTTGGATTTGGTTTGTCTTGTCTTACAGACGGACGCAGAGATCATTACAAGTGTGGACCAAAAAAATGTTGGACATCAAAATCTAATGTTTCTATAACATTAATGCTACATAAAAATAATAATTTGATACAAAATGTTTGTTTTTTATATTATTAATTGGGTCAAATTTAAAACGCACTGAAATCTTTTTTTTTTTTTAAAGGAACTGAGAAGAAAGTGTTTTTCTGACCAAAATGGGGCTTCTTTGAGCAGAAGTTTCTTTATGACCACATGGGGGTGACAAATGATAATACCGTATAATGGTATTTCCAGACACTCTCCCGAGGGTTTATGTATTTTAAACATGCCTAACTGAGAATTAGAATGAGGACATGTACTGAACTTTTATTTCTATGTTGGTTTTCTAACTTATTTTTCAGGAATCAATGCATTGTTTGGTGAAATTACAATAACATTGACCTTGAAAGGATTAATTAGAAATAAGAAGATCAATGTTACATTCCGTTAATTTATTAAATTTATCAGATGAAATTTTTAAGGCAATTTTAAAGGCTTAAAGTACCATCTCAGACCATCTCACAAAGCACATGGCAGTAAGTAAGACTACAGCTGACAAGCTGACTGACACAATTATCCAATGGATTGTGAGAGACTGTAGACAGATTATTGAAGATCACCGCTTCACAGAAGTTTAAAAAAAATCTTATCTGAAATGTCTATAAGCCACTGTGAAGAGGAACAATAATGAGTATTCTATATATTAATTTCTATATTTTTATTGTCATGTTAATATTTGATCATCATTTGATTAGTTGAAAATAAAAACAGGTGAAACACATCTACTTGGAGTTATATATCTTTCTATTTTGGCAATTTACATCATCATGTAATGTTGTAGTAATGTTGATCGATTGATGATTAATCCCAATATCTACATTGTAATCAATCAAATTAAAAAAATTAAAAAATCATCTGACAATTATTATGTTATCTTTTCTAAATTTCTTGTCTAACCTTTGTTGTATTTTAACTAAACTTGGTAAAATTGTCTTTAAATTCTATTTCGTTTCATGATTAACTGTACTAGACTTACTTCACACTGGTTAAAAAATGTCTGTCTTAGGTAAATGTTTTTTTTCCTTCTTCCTCACCTCAGCCTGGGGAAATAAACACTGCATGTCCAAAACTACAGTATAATTTCCGTCTCTTGGGGTACAGAAGGAATTTGGTGAACTTCCTGACAATATCTGTCTCTGCTTTGTTATGTGTCCACAGCCTGAACTGTTCAACGCTGATGTTCATGCCAACCGTGGTGGTTTTATGAGCTGTTGTCACCGAAGGAGTGAGAAAAGAAAACATCCACAATGGGAACAAGTTGATGCTGAACTCAGGTTAGGAAGTTGGAACTTACTATACTGTTGTTGCTTTTGGGTTAAAAAAGATATAAATGATCACATAGCGAACTTTGAGCTTGCATCTAATCTCTAATTCTAATCAAGTGAAATGTATACTACTTCCAAATGCAGAAAAAGCCATGTCAGAGAATACACAGCTCTATTCACACATTTTTTCCCTTCACTTTATGTTGTGTTTCTGAGGTGTGAAGGTGAGATCTTCCATTTCCTTCTACATCACAAGCGCAGTTTCATGTTTAATTATAAAAATTAGTTGCGTATCACGCAGAATTTACCCACAGTGCCACAAGGGTCTTGACTCACACATCAGTCATTAACGCTGAAGCAGTAAAAGGGTGGAGTATGCTATAACATAAACACAAGGTTAGGGAGGAAATTTGGACAGTTGGTGATGCATCTAAGAGTTCAGTCAGAGTTCATGTCAATGCAAGCTGAAGGCAAATGGTTCCAAAAGTGGAGAGCGTTTGTTTATTTTAGTCCAAAAGTGGAGAGCGTTTGTTTATTTTTTTTATTGTGTTTTGTGAGGAAAATTTCCTGATTAGTAACTTTATTTCCTTTCTTCAGTGAGAGTATAAATTCAGAAGTAGTAAAGTGCAGAAGTAGTAGTAGTCAGTGGAGTTATGAGGCAATAGCTGTGACTGTATAAACATGGGAGGCTGTGTACGTATGTGGGGGTTAATCCACAAAATGTGGATGCAGCAGAAAAACGTTCAGGAAACCCTTGGCTGATGATACACAAGTCTATTTCAAAAATGTTGTTAGCGCCTCTTCACGAGAAGCCTTTTTGAATCAGGTGTAAAAATAAAGTCAGCAGCGTCTCAGCTTCAACAGCAAATGTATAACAGGAGTGTATTTATAGCACGAAAGCACTGACGAGCCATAAATCATTATCTGCTATCCACATGTGCTAGTATCACCTGCTCATATGTAGCCTCCAAGATCACCTTGAATTTAGCTCTAGCTGGGCCGTTGACCAGATTCTGTATTTATACAATGATTTTGACATTTCGTCTTAATAAATGATTCATTTGTAAAGAAGTATATCAAGAATATAACATACATATCTGCATAGAAAATGTAGGATAAATGCATGTCATCAAGCAAACCAAACGGGAATTGACACTGACTGGTCTCTAATACTGTAGGTAAACTGGGATTAAGTGGTTTTATGAATATCCTGCTTGCTGCCTGTTTCAATCCTAAACCTTCTGATTGGACGGCCAATACTAACCAGTCAGCCTGAGTCACTTAAATATTGAATTGGACCCTGGGAAAAAATAGAGTTGTATTCTATTCTTCTATTCTTTTTATTCCATTTCAAGTTAAACTCACTGTCTGAATGCAGACAGATTGATATCATAACTCACATTAACAAATGCATTTTTTAAAATCATTTTTAAGATGTTGTGGATAGCATCAGCATCTTTCATCTACATAACAAGTTTTGAGTTGTTTTCTAGACAAAATAATATCAAAGTTTGTATGGTAGTGACCTTTATGGTCAACAACACTTGATGTAGTTGACTATACATATAAAATATATAATACATGTATATTTAAACCTAAAAAAATTTCACTATTACTGTGAAACACACACACACACACACACACACACACACACACATATATATATATATATATATCATACTTGAAACGATTAATAAATACAAAAACCTACTGTTGGTAAATGTTCATAAACAGAAACATAAAACATGTCCTTTTCACCAGACAAGAACACAAACTCAAAACTACTGAAGCTCATGGAACAGTAAACGCTCTCAGACCCACAATTCTAATCATGCAATTCATGACACTGCTGTAGAATGTGGCACGTCTCTTTCAGACTGATTAAAAATGCCTCAACTCATGATCCGTATTTAGTCCACAGGCTGTTCTCTTTAATCACTGATAGCTGAAAAAAGAAAAAAAAATGGCTAAAATGGAATTAGTAAAGTTTGCGTAAAATCGTATGATTCATGTAAATACTTGTGAATACTGGATGTGATCATCTCAGACGTACTTTATAAAATGAATCATTATCAGTGATTTCCTAACAAAACAGTTAGAATTACATTCAGATGTCCCTGCCCGTAGTTAGATGAACTTACGTAAACGTTAGCTTCCATTACCATTCAGTCACTTTGTCATAAATGCCGTATGTGCCAAAAAACAATTCAACAATTTTCGTCAACTTTTACTGTACTTTTAGTATGAATATGTTTCGTGATGGAATATAGTAAACCTCCCACGCAAATGTCTTGTACTTCAGTAAATTTGTGTTTTGACACAGTCTGTGATGACAGGGTCTCCTGCTGATGTCCAGAACAATCTGAATTCAGCGCTTTTCACTCGGTTTTTATTACTACTGGTGTCTGAGGCTTTAGTCACTCCACTGCCATGGCTGCATGTCAAAGGTTTTACTGAGCTTTACTGAGTATTCTACAGATCCAGCACAGCTCTCAGATGAGGTAACATTTGCCTCATTCTGACAAAAGCACAGCCTGGTTGGGAAACATTATTAAAACCACTTCATCATGCTGTCACTTGGTGTCTGCTAGCAGCTCAGCTCCACATTGGTCGTGTCAGTTTGAACCTATGAATAGCACCCAATGAATCACAGAGACGTTGGACTCCTCTCTCTGTCCCTCACTTGTGCTTCAACAAACGAAATGAATGAAAACACTGGCTGTCTTCACATGGTTACCGCTGCTCCTGTTGCCCTCCTCTCCCCTCTCCCTTTCTCCCGGTTGGTGGGTTACAGCAGGGAGAAATAGTGGGCGTAACGTGTGCGTCTGTGTTGGTGCTCCCAGGGCGCATGCGGACTGAGGCCCAGAAGGGAAAGCCTTCCACACAGATCTAAGCCAGCTGCCCTGCTCCTAATGCTTCATTTCAAGAAGAGTGGAAGAACAGGGGGGCGCCACATGCATCCCCTCCACCAGCGTGCTCAGAGTCCACTGGGGAAGCAGCCGTCTGCTCTATCAGCAGCAGATCAGCAACTTTTATAGGTGTTTGCTGTTCTCCACGAGGAGATCTTCTGCTTCACATTCCCCGGACTTAAAGGGCACTTGCCCTGAGAGGGGTGGGGGGTGTTCAAACAAACTGACCCCTGGGGTTAAGTAGAATCAGTTTTTGTGAAGTCCTGTGAAGGAGAAGTGGGAGGAGGGTATAGGCAGCGATTAGTGGGAGGTAGGAGGCCACGGTGGGGCTCCTACACTGCTGAAGGAGTCAAAGGAGTCCGCTGGAAAAGTGGAGGAGATGGCTACAGGAGAAATCACAACACTTCCTTCTACACCTGAAGACGGTAGTTCTAGTGCGTTCCCCGGTGGAACCTTTAAGGAACCCAAAAGGCTGTACTGCAAAAACGGAGGTTACTTTCTGAGGATAAAGTCTGACGGCGGAGTGGATGGAATCCGGGAGAAGAGCGACCCCCACAGTAAGTGATTCCAGGTCTCTCTCTTTCTCATGTTGTACAACCACACAATGCTTCTTTATAATATGCAACAAGGAGGCAGGAAAGAAGCAAAAAGAAAATTATGGGGGAAAGAAGTGAACTTTTCCAGCTTACTGAAAATGTGGGTGGGTTGTGCTTCTGGAAAGAATAATAACTCGGGACATTCGCCTCAAATTTTCTCAATCAGTGGGAACTTTGATGAAATGTGTCAGTGGTGTTTTGAGTAAACATTGATCACCGTGCTGAGTCACTGCCATCACAGCACGTCACGCAGGACAAGCACGACACAGAGTCAAACTCCCAGACCTCAGGATCCCTTAATTATTGGTCTTAATATGAATGATCTTTATTGCAGTGAATTTATTTTCTCTTTAATCATTCAATGAAACCTGACAGATATTTGAGTCGAGCTCTGTGTGTCCTGGCTCGGCCTGGACGACTGTGATACCTCAGTGCTCCACTGGATCACTGAGCACACAGGGTATGTGACCTACGTTACATCAGTTAGTGGGAGGAGAGGAGTGGGAACAGGAAGGTGGGTTTGATTCCCAGGAAAACGCTTGAATATTTCACCACACCATGTAATCTCAGCAGGTGCATTCCACGGACAGATGTGTAAGATCTGCCACGTAAGGAGAAGAGAAGAGACTTTCAAAGTGATTCAAACACTGACTATTTCCTGGCTTTTTTGAGATGACGCAAAAACTTTTATCCAATGAATGTCCCATCCTCCTCATGATGTCATTGGAGAAGAATCACTTTGGGCATGTTCTGTTATCAGGGGTTGCCAGAGATCATATATATATATTTTTTATTTTTTATTATTTATTAGTTTTTTTTTTACCCTGGATGCCCTTTCTTATTCAGCCCAACCTGGGATTTGGTTGACAGCGTGGTATCAAACCCGAAGACTCACCACTTCACCACTGCATCATGGTTTCAATAAGGAATGCTGAATGATAGAAGCAGCTTCTCTATTGATAATAGCTTGAGGATGGTCATTTGGTAAGGGCTCCACGATGGGTGCACTTCCTGATGAAACGCATCCACATCCTGTTGCCACCTCGCGTACAGGGGGGCCATTTTGGTGCCCTGCACTGGCGCAGCATTGAGTAGCCATCTCGCGTCAGTGACTTGCATATAAAAAAGGATTTGCAGAGTTCACACTATATTTAAAAATACATACACAATATGGGTCACGTTAAGCATGGGTAAAAAAGTTTGGTCACTTTTGCCTGCAGTGTGAATGTAGCCTCATCGATTGAACCACATACGTTCTGGGTAGGACTTTGAGCTGGGGCCACATCCGTCCCAGTGAGTCATTAGACACTAACAGGTATTAATTATTTGGCCCTTTGACTAAAATATCTTCACTGTGACCTGAATTGCTCTCCATCAATGGCCCTTTGTTAAAGCAGCAGCAGTACCTGCCACTGAGCGCTAGAAACATTTGATCTCCACCAACCACGACTAATTCTTTTAAATATTGTTTTAAAGAACACCCCCTTCATCTGTCATCTGAATCATCAGTGCTGTACGACTAATCGACGACAGATGTGTTTTTACCCAACAACTTCATTTGAATTATTTCTCTGAACGTACCTAATGGAGGAGCCTGATTGTATTCAGTGATGGTACACAACTGCAAATTGACAAATAAACAAAGATGGAGAAGCTCTAAATACATCTGTGAGGAGAAGGTCAACAGACAGTGTGGGCTCACGCAGCTGTGTCTGTATGATGTCACAGTATGTAGGTTGATGTGATATACAGTAACCGTGGTGATTAGGTAATTAGACACATTCATTAAAGAAAGGTACTGAGAGACAGTTGGTCAGTGACTGAGGTTTATCTGGTAGAATTTAAAATGTTCACTTGTCATCCAGGAAAAGCAGACCTCATTTCAGCTGTCAGTTGACAGGAGGAAAAGGAAAGTTCTGGACAGTTTTCCAAACGAATATGCATGCAACAGTTTCTTGACCTCAGATTCACTCTGTGAATTGGAGAAAACCCAAGAAAACTTGAGACACTGCTTTCACACTGGTATTCACCAACATGGATCCAGGTGGGGTTTTTTTTTAACAAACTATCAAATGTTAGCACCATCTCAAAGTTATGTTTGCTATTTCTTCTTCTAATTAACATTTTCCCTTAATATTATATGCTCAATGTTGACGTGACAGTTTCCAGCAATTAGATCTCACCATTTCATGTTACTACTCAGGGATCTAAACCCTTTCACGCTGATCAAACTGCAGCAGGTACGTATTTGTAAATGATGTCATGCCCCCTGGTGGTCAAAAACATCACATTTTATACAGACAATCTCATGTTTTGATGAGATTGGTTGCAGTGATTGTTAAAGATAAATGTTGACTTTTACAAAGATGCTCCTTGTAATTTTTTTTCAATTAAAAATAGATAGTGTAAATAACCACAAAACTATATATATGTTTCAAATTTCCAATAGTCTTATGCCTGCTTGTGTTCTGTTTTTTTGTTTCTTTTAGTAAAACTTCAACTCCAGGCGACTGCAGTGGGGGAGGTGGTCATCAAAGGCGTTTGTGCTAACCGTTATCTGGCGATGAACAGGGACGGGCGACTGTTTGGAGTGGTGAGCGACTTTTACTGTGATTGTAATACTTCGTAGCCCTGGTTACTTCCAGTTGACAGTGTGTTGTGTCACAAAGTCTCGCCTTTCGACAGTAAAACTGATGACCTGACATGAAATCCTTACTCAGGATACAGTTTGAATTGGTAATCACTATTTAAAATGTGGGTTTACTTAAAAAGTTAGGTTGACCCACATAAAGGTGTTACTGTGAGCAGCATGGTATGACAGTAGAGAAGAATGTTCTTGTCTTGAGTCCTAGTTTGACCTTGTTTCCCCTTTGATGTAAATTTCCCATATTCTTCCCATATGTGTGGAGTTTTGTGTGTACTCCGGGGGTCGGTTTAGGTTAATTAAAGACTCCAAATGGCCCATGGCTTTTACAGTGGTGATGAGAAACCCAGATAATTTGTCCAGGCTGTATTCGGCACCATATTGTGACAATGTTTCCAGCTCCTTCCGCAGCCCTTCAAACATGTCTTAGACTGTCAGTGTAAGGGATCGAATCGGGAAAAGCATAAAATGTGAGAGAAAAACTACTGAAATGAAATTACTTTATGGAAGCTATGCTTCAGTCAAATACACAAACTGGCTTGTTGCCCTCAGCATGTTGTCGTACAGTTTTTATATAAACTTAGTGGGTTTTACACACGGTTATTGTCAAAGAAAATTGATTTTTATACGATGACAAACACCAGCTGTTCACTGCTGCTCTTAAGCCACAGTGTTGTTGCTTCACGGTTTGACTCGTGGCTCAGCGGTCGTGCAGACTTGTTAATAGTTTGTGTAATTTGGCCAAAGCATTTCCTTAAATCTAACACGACACAGAGAGTCACCGAGTTTCACTTTCACTGGTGGTAAAACTGAAGCCGCTCCCCAGTAAACAACAAAAACAGGTCATACATTTAGAATAGGAGCTGAGATGCTCCTATAGGGTACTTGATAGCAACAGGCTAATCACAGCTAGTTTAAAAAAAAATCTAAAAAGATTTTGCAGAAAAAAAACAAAACAAAATAGAAAGAACCCAAACACAGGGTTGTGTCATTGTTTTTAGACCAAATACCTTCAGTTTTCCATTAGAAAAGAGTGACATGTTATTAGAGTTCATAGTTTATTTTTTCGGAAACACACTCTTTAACTTCAACAATACATGCAGTCATAAATATTTTGATCGATTACTTCTAAAACTGAAATACAATTAAAAAGGTTTCGAAACACTGAGGTAGGATTGATGTTTCCTGACGGCTGCTGTTACTGAAACATAAACAAAGCCAGGTCGTCCTGAGAGGTTTGTGACACATTAAATTAAATGTCACCTGACTAATGGCCTCATAGTGTTTAAGGAGTACTGGTAAATACAGACTAAAACAACAGCCTTCTGTTGGAAAGAAGGCAGGCAGGTACCGCCCAGTGAGACAACGAGACTTTAGTCAGGCAGTGTGTAATTTATATTTTCTACAAAGGACAATATTCAGGAAGGAGACTGTGTCTCCTTTTGACAAGATGTGGAAAATATAATATTTTGATATTGAATTTCTAATGTCTGAAATTGTTCAATTGTTTTTGTCTTCCTTTTATAAAACTTATAAAATTGATTTTTGTCATGGTATTTATTTGTCTTTCTGTTTAGTGTCTGACTGTGGTAAACTCCACTGACTGATACAGTATAATGTCTTTCGTCGTTTTAACTTCTAGGGCTGTCAAACGCTCAAGTTGTATCTTATCTTAATCTAATTAATTGAAACGAGACTGGATTCATTACGATTAATCACGATTGACACATATGACAAGAATATATTTTGTGTCGTTTCCTGCAACAGGAAGATCAATGATATGAGGTAATTGTGTGTTTCACATGTTTTATTTGTGACTAGTCCAAACAATGGAATTATTAATATGGAAAAATGTCAAACTTCAAATTTGGCTTTATTGTGTTGGTGAATTTTAGTCATTTCTTGACATTGTTTAGGCGTTAAGCTGTTATTTTAAGCTTGAGGTGCTTCAGTGAAATGATAAATCTTTCCAGCGGTGTGTGTTGATGACGTGTGTATCCACTGTGTATTAGAGCAACTCAAATATCTGCACTGAGGAATTAATGGATCTATAGTGTGGGTAATTCTGTCCAAGTGTTAAAATGTGTAATATTCATAATTTCACAGCCCCCTGACAGCCCTAGTAGTTTCCCTTTTGACTGTTTTATCATAGCACGTCTTCACAAACTAAACCACAACTCTTACCATTTATTTGTGTGTTTCACTTTAGAGGCGAGCAACTGACGAATGCCACTTCCTGGAGCGGCTTGAGAGCAACAACTACAACACCTATCGCTCCAGGAAGTACCCAAACATGTATGTGGCGCTGAAGCGAACCGGCCAGTACAAATCTGGACACAGCACTGGACCGGGTCAGAAGGCCATCCTCTTTCTGCCCATGTCTGCAAAGTGCTAATCCGCGATAGGATTGAGGATTAAACAGAGGTGAAAGGAAGATGTGATTGTGAATGACAACAAATGTCACTTATTTACAGCTGTGATCGTTTTAACTGTTGCATTTTTAACAGTTATTTATTCTGTTCTTTTATTCATTGCACACTCACACCTGGCTGCCTTCCAGTAAAACCAGGCTTTAAACTGAAGCCCAGTGCCTTGCTCGTGAGCGCCCAGAGCGATCGGCAGTGCAACATAATTATTTTTAAGCTTTATTTTTTAGTGGGAGTCCTCCTCCTTTTCTTGACTTGGAAATAAAGCAGCAACACACCGTCTTAGTCCGTCTTAGTGATTGGCTCAAAATGACATTAGAAAAATATTCAGGAATTTGTAAGAATGTAGAAACATAGGAATATAGTCCATAGGAATATAGAGAATGTAGAAACATAGGAATATAGTCCTGATTGCTTCCATTGCATCGTCCCAACTGCTGCCCAGCATCTATCAACACATGTCTAGATTTATTTTACTTTTGTCTTACAGTAGTGTATAATCCCATATGTATAATTTTTTCCTTTTTTTCCCCTTCTGCAATCGGTATGAAATGTGAGACTGATGTTGTGTGTTGAACACTTGACTGTCTTTGTGAAGCCAGCAAAATACTTTACTGGATTGTAACTACCAGTTACATCTGTATCTGTGTGTACAACAATTATCAACAGACCTTAAATAGATGCTAGGATTTGGGTGTTGAAGGAATCTGCCTGTGGTACAGCTGGTAGAACATCCCAGAATAAACGGCAGGAAGCTCCTCCATGGCGAGGTCAACCGTGTCGAAACCTTTCTCAAGGCCGTGAAGCAGCAGCCGGGCTACACGTGAGGTTATGGGGGTGGTGTGGCTGGTCTTGGCCAGGTCTGCCAGGTCCAGCCATTCACAGCGCAGACATTCCTGAGTGCAGAAGTTGATTTTGTAGGTGAGCGGGCTGAGGCGGCAGATGATGTACATGTCGGACATGCCCCAAGCATTGGGGTGGTTGTGTTGCTGCCTTATGCTGAGCAGAGACCTGAACTCTGAGCGAACGCCAGTTTCCTCAAACACTTCACGTACAGCAGTAGTGCCTATGAGGGAGTGGTGAATCCATGTGGAGAAAAGATGAAATGTTTTTACACAGCAAAAACCTGATGCTGCATTCTTTGTTGAATCATGTATTGAATATTGAAGCTGCTTTTAAAAATGTACAACATAGTGGGAGAAAAATCATTTACCGTATGTAATGTACCTTTAGCCAAGTTCAAATGAATGTATCACCTTAAATCTGGGGTAGGCAACGCTGAAAAAAACTGCTTAACTTTGGAGTTGTTTGTTGACTTGATGTCAGCAAGTAAGTTTGTATTCCTCCACGAACATAAAATGACACAAACCTCAGTCATTCAGGATGAGGTTTGCTAGAATCCTGTCAATCCCTTTGTGCCTGCGCAGACACCTAATTACAACTATGTTGTTTCAATATCACTAACCAAGATCAACATTGGCCTTGAGCTTCCAACTGTGACTGCCAACTGAAATTACGGAGTTCCACAGAAACCAAAGAAATGTTCAGAAAATTGTTTTCCTGTATAGTCTGATGAGGCTGAAATGTTGTTTTGCTGTTATCAAGTCGGATAAAATTACCTGGATACATGGACAAAGGACAGTTGCTAATACTGAAAAAGACACGTTTCCTTGTAAAGGCTAAATCCAGTAGCTAAGTAGAACAGCTGTTTTTTATTGGAACATAATTCCAATTCCAATTTATTTCGATGAAAGATGTGTTGAGTTTAACTCAGATTGTACTGGAGATCCTAACTGATTGTGATTAAAGCTTGCCTACCCCAGCTTTAACACAGAAACTGAAAGCGATTTCATTCGTTGTACTGTATTACACGTTTGCTTTGTTGGTTTTTTACACTCACCTATATTTTCTCCTGGATCGGACAAACCACCGGGGAACTTCCACGCATTCTTCGTCTGGAATTTACATAATTAACCATTAGCATTGTGTGTGATGACACATCACTGCTGTACATGTATCCTAGTTTATTAGAACATTTTACAGTTAATGTCGTACAGAATGGATGAAGTTTGATTTTTAAATATTTATCAGCTGTTCTGATGCGAGAGTCTTGCCATTTCGTGTTTTATACCCAGTTCCATACGATGGAGTTTATTTCTTCTTCTTCCAGACCTGTCTCACCACTTACCTTAGATATTTAATGACAGTGTGCTGCTGGTTAAGTTATAACGTCACTGTTGTCTACATGTGTACAAATATATTTTTGTAGTTACTTAAAGAATGATGTATGTTCTGCTTCCGAATTGCCGATTCCTCTTAGATTTCGCATGTCCTCTCTGTGAGGACCACAGATGCACTATAACATTTACTTTGTGTAAAACTGTTATATTTTTGGAGCTGTTATATTTCTGGAGACAATAAATGTTGTTCATGTCTAATAAATACATAACAATTTCATTATTAAAGAGCCTATGAAAAATTAAAAAAAAAAGATTTGTTGTAAATGTCATGAAATCCACCGTCATTTATCAACTTAGAAAAATTATCACTTTGGGTTGATGTGAGAGTAAATGCCAGTCGTGTGTGTTTTTAAGCGAGTCCTTCCGCAGCTTCATTTGCCAGAGCCTCTGTTCTGCCAAGGGCCAGACAATTATAATATCCGTTTCCAGTAAACTCCTAGATGCAGGGAGGAGGGGAGAGGAGGAGGATGGGAAATGATAAAACACTCCCCCACGACCAGGCCACAAACTGTTTCCCTCTGTTTCTAAACTCAGGCCATTCAGATATATGCACCAACTTCCAGATGTGTTAAATGTTGCATATGATGAAAGTCGAGCGAAAAGCATCATGGATTGCATCTAAAGTTCTCACCTCTTCTAAAATATCAATAACTAGAATTCCAACTTAAGCATGTTTTCTGGATAAGATGGCTGTTTGGTCCATTTAGCACAAAACCACAAACCAGACAGCAACAAAGTGTTTGCTTTATGTCATAGCAAAGCATAAAGAGTACAAAACTAATGATAACTAAATAATCCACCATCTGTTATTCAATACCATATCACTACATGCTCTGTCTGCACACTATCAAGATTTCTGTCTGTGCTGAAATAGCCTGTGTTGTTACTGGCACGCTGGACGTTCTAGTATTGGGTCAGTGTACTATTGTGTGACGGCAAGTCGTTTCATTCCACTGTTATGTGATAATTATTACACAATAGTTATTTTCTCTGTTGGTTCATTTTGTTCATTGTGTGTCATTATTAGTCAATAACACTGGAATTCTCTCTGTGATTCAATTAGCCATCAAAAATCCTTTGTCGTTGTTTTGATCAGCTATTTATCAGCTTATTTATTTATTGAATTATTTCATCTATTCATTATCCCATTATTTTTTGGCTTGTGACCCCATTTTGACAGCACAAATTTCGGGCGACCCCAGAAACATTTTAATAGCTGTCACTTGTGCAGTCAGGTAATCTCAGCTGTCAATCAAGATGCGCTAAGATATATTGATATACTGCTATATTTTATTTGTGCTGGATTTATATTCATGAAATTGAAAGAATATAGTTGTTTAAGATTGTTTGAAAAATGTTTTTATTTTTATTTTTTGTAATCGATTCTAGACATATCAGGCGACCCCACGTGGGGTTCTGACCACAAGGTTGATAAAACACTGCTTTAGAGTTTGAAAGCCTAGGTTTGGGTTTATTTTAGGGACCCATTTACACTAATCAAACTGGCAGTAGACCAGTATTTCCTACGACTCTAGGAGGTAAATTGAATGATTTTCCCTTTGGACCCTGGTGTGAGGGACTCACTGCTATCACAGCATTAAAGCAGGTTTAACAACTTCAAGCTTACAGAACCAGACCTTATACCAGAACAAGTCTTCACTTGTTACTCTATATTGAGCAACTTGTCTCCAAATTGTTGCACTAATTCTATAATTACCTTTTAAAACTGGGAGTGATCTCGTCTTGGCCTGACTCAGAGCACAAACATATCTGAGTGGAGCAGCTTGAAAAGACTTTGCTGTGTATGAACCAAACCCACACCCCCACATCCACAGCGGGGCTCTGTGAGAGTGGAGAAACACACAACACTGGCTCACAAAGTTGTTTGACTGCATTCAGCTCCTGTAAACAGTCTGTTTACTTGAGGTCAGCTGATGTTGTACAGAGAGGCGATGCTAAGTGTGACATTTCCAACCATCTTTGGATAAACACACGATGCACAGGATGGCGACAAACACAACGATCACTGATGAGTTTTTGTTTCCTCCGTACTGGTCTGGTCCGTGTGCAGATTGATGCTCTTTGGTTCATGTTATGGTTGTGAGTGAAGTGTTTTACTGAATGAAAAGGAAATCGGAATGTCCATCATTTCTAGTTTGTCCAAGTCTGCCGTCAGAGTAGGAGTTTCAGTACCTGCTCTTAATTTAAGCTATTTAACTGTATTCATTTGCTAGCTTTTAGCCATTTGGGTATCTTTTTTCAGGAATTTTTTTTTTCACATTTATTTAAAATGAAACCAAAATCTAAATGCTAACCCAGCAACTTTAGTGTCTTCATGTTTTTTTAATAAATTACATTAGGTATTCAGCCTGTATTAAAAATTAAATGTTGTAGTATTAATTGATAATGTTCAAATAATAATAATAATAATAATAACTATTATTATTATTATTAATTTAAAGTTTTTTCAGTAATAGGATTTATTTATGTATGTAATAAAAGAATCCACTCCTGCTGTCATGGTATTTTAACTACAATAAGATGTTTACCCAGGGTTAAAATAATCTTAACCACATTCTATTTTACTATATTTTATTCACTGATGTGAGTGGATCCCGAAGTCAAAAACTTAATCTACCTTATTGCGGTCCTGGACAACGAGAACTTTTCCATTGGATTCATCGACGACTGCACCTGGAGAAAAATAAAACGCGACAGTTGTTCAGTTTATATGTCAGCACTTTTTCCAAGCTGCACCACTGGGAACTATTTACTGTGGGCTTTAGGGTCACACAACGTACAAACTGGGGAAGTGGATGGAGAAGATTGAACTGCTTTATATTATGAAGACTAATCACATCTGCAAACACCTCTGACAAGTCAAAGAAAATACCATAATGCTGGGCTTCCTGTTCATAACTGCACAGGAAGAAAAGTCAATTTTATTCCACTTCTCCTCCTGTTTAGTGGTTCTACTGGAGAGCAGCAGCCAAAAATACCAGAATTAAAATGGTAATAAAGTTCTCTTTGACACAGATCTAAAGTGCCAGGAACTCACTGCTGGCTCTGAGTGCCTGTGGGGACCCATGACACATCAGTTTGTACTGCTGTTGAAAAAACGATATGTAGATACGGATGTTTGCACTTCTTTTTGAATGAAACTGTGACAGAGTTTTTCAAATCCAGTCCACTGAGGGCCACACATGTCCAGTTCTTTCTCAGATCATTTATTCTCTACTGTCGTGAAAGTCTGTGATAGAACAACTGATCCACTGCACCAAAAACACATCACCTGCCCAACCGTAGCTTTAACTCGCTACACTGACTGTGTAAACTACAATTAACTTTGTCAGTGTCAGAAAACTGAAGGTAAAAATAAGCTGGCACGGACGGAGTCTGAGTGACTCAGCCCAGCATGTAAGTGATGTAGAGTGGACATTGCCATCCAACATTTTTCTCTCCCGTGTGAGTGGGATGTTTCTTTTTTTTTCAGCAGGTAGTGACTAAGTGCAGCGGCTACTTCCTGCTGTCAACAGCTCTCGAGGAGGGCAAAGGGAAGGAAAAACCAGCCACTGTCCTTTCCGGCCGAGACGGGCCTGGTTTTAAATGAATGTCACAGATGTGTAAAGAGGGATAGGTCGTCTCGAAGGCTCGACTTGGACGTCCAAGTGGAAATTGAGGTCATCCTCAAGCCTGTGCCATATGGCACTGCACAGAAGGAGGCCCTGCTACTGCTGCACAGAGAAGCTATCATTATGTAGACTTGAGTCCAGGAAACAAAATACTCAGCAGGAGCAGGGGGGCATTTTATCATTAATATGATATGAAATTTTCAGAAACAATTATCTTAACTAAAGTTTGGTTTACTATATATAAATAGCCAAGATTTACAGTTAGCTACAGCTCAGAAGAAATGTCTGACAAATGATTTTATACAAAATATCTTCACTTGTGTTTTGTCATAACACAGAACTGTTTACAAAGTGACTGCAGAAGTCCAACTGTGGGAGGTGGAGAGGACGGAACACAGTCCAAAGTCACTGATGTTAATGTTTCCATGGGTGAATGAACCGACGCTCTCAACTATGTAACTCATGTCCTTTATAAAAATGCTGGTAATATCTACCAAGGGTGTAGGAAACAAAGTAATTAGCATGACTAGTGTAACAATAGGGGAAGAAAATGGATCAGATGTTGGACCATTCCAAGATGAGGGGACTGCTAGATGACAATGAAAAAAAGCTTGCTTTATTTAATATTACTTAAAGGCTGTTACCTGTCTGGTTAGATGTCTGCACTAACCAGAGTTTGAGTTGTTATAACAAAGACTCTCATGTTTAAGATGGTTTTATGACAATAGAGTCAATAAGAAATAATGTACAATATATTAATGGTATTTCTAATTGAAAAAAAAAAACATTTTCTTATTGTGTTTGTGCACACAAAGATAAAATAAATGTGTTTTTCTAACCAACAGACCAGTAATTAAACCACAACACAGATACAATACAGGAGCTGGTGATTTTCTTTTTATTAATGCAAAATCATTCTGTTCTTGGTCATGGGGTCAAGCACTTGGGAAGGCATGTATTAAAACAGCTGCATGTTTCAGATTCTCTGACTGTGTGTCATCATTGTTTCCTTCGTTGGAGGAGAATGTGAGAAGGGGGGATTTTTGGTGATAGAAAAGGGGAAATTCTTGATCGTGTACCTCACTGAAGGATGCTCAGAACATGTTCTGACATGCTTCAAGTGCATCTACAGCACTCGTTCGTGGAAGTAAAATGCCACTCTGCCCTCTGCTGGACAGTTAGACACATAGCAGAGGAGGTTAACAAGTTCTCTTTGACAGACTCCAGAAAGATATTACTTTAAGTGTCTCAAACCACAGATGTAAAAACAGAACAGCGACTCCTGTGGTAAGATAATTAAGTTGCATATACATGTTGACACTTTACTGGCAGCGTAAATAACTGAAAGCTGTCGAGTTTTAAGCAGATTATTATAAAGAATTGAGACGTTGTTGAAAAGGGAAAGTTGTTTTAATTAACTTATCTAAATTTTTAACAAACTTTTAGCCATATCTAAATGTTTTTACCTGCCACTCCAATTTGGTGAGTTGCAAACGCTGGTAGTCTGTTCTCTCCATCTCCCAGCCACAGGGCAAGGACAGTATGGTCATGTTTGGCGTGGTGGAAAGTGAAGCCGTGAGTGGAAGCAGCAGCAGCACATCTGCTCAAAGAAATGGGTACGATGAGCCACACTGCCACCTTACCCTCTGCTTTCCACTGGTCTAAAGAATCTGGGAATCAAAACAAACAAACAAATAAAAAAGATATTTAAATTTGCTCTAATGTTATTTTGCAGCTGCAGAATTAATACCAATTCAGGCAAGTTATAAAATGTTTATTACATCAGTAAATATGTTTTAATGTGCATTTCAACACCATATTAGTAAAACATATTTATTACTGCTGAATTAAAACCGTATAAGCTGGATTAGGATTTTACGGTAAAAATAGATACAAATTCAAACCTTTCCTGTTGTCCCACTCTCATCGTGGTCAATATTTACTTTTATCAATACTTTATTGAGGAAGAGGTAAAGAAGAAAAGTATAACTTCAATCTAATGATTTAATTAGGTTTTCTTAAGTTAAACAGGAGGTGCTGAGGTGAAGAAAGTTCACCCCTACGTATGTTGAACCCATCTGTCACTTAGACTGCACACCTCACTCGTTGGTTGTTTTTATATACTGTATGTACTGTAGCCTCATCACATGCTTGTCTACTACTCTATACTTCCAAATACACAGGTATTACAAGGTTACTTCACTTTATACTGTATCAATATCCCTCTCTCTTATTATACAGGATGGAAACAAAAACACGTTGCACAAATGGTTTGAGTTTGGTTAGTGGTGGTTAGTGAATAAATCACTCAGTTGTAGCTGAAGTGCATACAATCGGGGTTTTATGTGTTTAGGATTTATACGGTCTCTGCGCAACAAACCTCGCAGTATTGTGCTGAATAAACTTTCACTGATATCTGGAGGTAAACCAGAATCCCCCAGGTTCACTGTGACTCCACCGAATCGGTCAACTTTCCCGGTCAGACCCAGGGAGCTGGATCCCTCTGCTCTGTGCAGGTGGGAACGAACTACAGTGGTCGCAAACGCCCGGACAGCAAAGCGAGTGGGACAAGACATTCTTCTGCAAACCCGTCCGACAAATGGAGGCAGATGTTTAAAAATAAGCAAACAAGATGCCATGTTGTTGACTAAATGACACACACTCCACTATAGATGGTTGTATTTGTATAGCTTCCAGTTCATACAGTGCAGCGTTGTTACGTAAAGCGCATAAACGTTGCATAAATACCATAATACTCAGTAAGCGTTGCGCTTACAAATCACAAAGCAGCATTCTCTTTAGAAAAAAAGACAAAAAGTGGGTTATACGGTAGAATTGGGCGGAGTCAGTATATAACCAGGAAGAGTGGAACGCTTGCGCAGTGTTTACACATGTCTGCACTTTCACGTGGAGACTATTTCCATTTTTAAAATGTCTTCAAAGAAAAATAAAGGCAAATCCAAGAAATCCAGTGATGGTGACAGTTCCGGGTTACTGAAGGAAAACTCCAGCGACTCTTCAAGTCTGCAAACACCCGGCCACGAAGGAGGAAGCTGCAGGAGTTCGAACAGCAACTCATTCACTGTCATTGATTGTATTGAGAAGGGTGAGACTGCGATTCACAATGATCACTGCATATTAATTTGATATTCAGTCTGTAAGACATTTAAAAAGACATTTGACGTTTTGTCCAATCGCACATTGATTATGGCTAAAATCTAAACTTTATTCGTGCATCGATGTTGAAACATCAGTCTTATGTGTCAAATGTTCTGAGATGAAGCATTTATTTGGCAGATAGTATTCTGGGGAGAGCCGGGTTGTGTCATGTCTTTAAGAATAGTGCATTTCCGTTTGAGTAGATATCCAACACATGGAGCTCGAACCTGATGAATAGTTGACCCTCTTGTGCACCTGTTGCACCACACTATGACGTTGTTTTTCCAATGGACAGATACTTCTGTACTATATGGTGTGTTTAACACCGGAGTCACCCTTAACGACCCGCGATACTCGTTGAGTTAAATTATTTAATTGCTGAATGGATGACTTTAAGTGTCTGTTGTTCTACACAGGCCCACAGGAGAGGTGCAGGTGAATGAAAGATTAGACTTGACCAGGACTTCTATTTATCTTCTGCTTCTGATTTTATCTAATTTTACCAGAATACTTTTATGTCTTACTGCAAGGGTTTTAGGACAGCAACCCAGGCAGAAAGAGGAGTGGGAAGACATTTTAATTCATTTTCTTTGTTTTCTTTCCAGCTGATGACAAAACACCCAAATCCTGCAGATCGTCTTTGGCTCAGCTGGGCCTAAATTCAATGAAGGCAGCCAATGTATGCATTGGAAGACCAGTTCTACTGACAAGTCCAACTGGACAAGAGGTCATGTCTCCTCTCCTGTCTTCCATCCTCACGGCCCTCTTTATCTTCACACTTTAACATTTCTTGTTATTTTTCTGGACAGGTGTGTGTGGGTTGGCCTGCTGCCTCTTTTCCAGGAGGAAAAGTTGGTCTTCAGAAACACGCTCAAATGAACCTGAGAGTAAAGTCAGGAGACAAGGTGACGCTGCAGCCAATCATTGGTCCGGTGCTTCAGGCTGAGGAACTGTTTTTATTCAACAGGTACAAGATATAACTTCTGGTTGATTTATTTATTCCTCCACATTCTAATTCTTATTCTATTGGGGTTCTTGTTATACAAATGTTTGGAATTGTGCTCTTTTTGAACATGTTAAATGTTTTCAGTGTTAATGATTTTGTTTTGTCGTTAACAAAGACAATTGTTTCATATGCTTTATGTTAACATGGAGTTAAAAACTAATTCAAAAAGCTTTGTTGTTTTTATATTTGTTTTGTAAAGCAATGCTACCGCCTGGTGGTTATTTTGACAACTACACTTCATGTATCTATAATCGACCAACCTCGATAAATGTTTGAATTGAGTTAAAGATTAAATGTAACCACAAGTCACAATAATAATATTTAAATAATCTACATTATTTTTATGTACATATGGTATTTTTGCTCAGGTCAAAAGATGACACACTGGAGACAGATGAGTTCAAAAACTTCCTTGTTAGATCTTTGGGTAAGTCAGTTTACTGAATAAATACAGACACTTGTTGAAATACATGTACATGCTCCACTGCAGTTTTCCTCCTTGCAGCATATTGATAGACAGACAGACAGACAGACAGAAAAAGTTATTTTGATTTTTATTCTTTATTGGTCCCAGCTGGCAACATCATTCTCCCAGGAAATCTCCTCTCCCTCACCTATTATGGCCGCTCCTGCAGTCTGAGGGTGGAGGCTGTTAGAGGTGAGGATGGCGTCACCCTCCAGAGACCAGCTCCTGCACCAGGACAAGCTCCTGATACAGAGGAGTCCTCTATGATCACTTCTGTGCTGGACTCCACACCTGCTGACCTCTCCTTACAGCTCAGTTTACTCACAGTGGAGGACAGCAATAATGCAGAGGGGCCGCCAGGCACACCTGGAGAGCCTGGTCCCGCAGCCAGCACCCCACGCCGCCCAATCCAGATGTCCTCCCTCTCCTCACCTGCTCCATCTCCTTTCAGTCCTGCCTACAACTCCCAGGATCCTCCTCCTCCTGCAGCACCAACAGACGATTCTGTCAGCCTAGAGAGCTCAGTAATATCCGAGAGCAGACAGAGAGAGAAGATCCCCACAGCTCCATCTGGTGGTGCTCTGAACACTGACACCTTCTACTGCCTCTCCACCTCCACTAAAGTCACTCTCAGACACAAAGCAGGGCGGGAGGATCCAGATGGTGAAGCCAAGAGCTCAAAGGTGACGTACAGCATGATTGGTGGTCTGAGCACACAGCTGGACGTCATCAGAGAAACCATCGAGCTTCCTCTCAAACACCCTGAGCTCTTCTCCAACTATGGTAGGTCAGGTGCTCTTTGGGGCATTTACACAGTGGCGTATGGCAACCAGATGGACAGAATGACACACCCATTATGATGTAAGATGTTTCAAAATGGGGAGTTTTAAAAAGTCAACACATCCTTGTTGAAAATGCATGTTTCATAAGTGTTGAACAAGAACCCCAAGATTATTAATTTATCTTTTGTTTTCACTGCTCAACACATTTAACAGAGTTATCTTGACTCGACACATGCAGGAATTCAGACTTTTGACTTTTTTGTTGTTGTTGTTAATGCAGGTATCCCACCTCCCAGAGGCGTTCTCCTATATGGACCCCCAGGCACAGGCAAGACAATGATTGGACGAGCCATAGCCAATGAGGTGGGAGCTCACATGACTGTCATTAATGGCCCTGAGATTATGAGCAAGTAAGCAAATTTTTTTTTTTTCCCTCGCAAATTATTGCTTCCTACAGAGTAAATGGAAATGGAAATGCAAGAGGAAAATCCTCAAAAGTATTTTTCCCAATTTTTTTACAGGTTCTATGGTGAGACAGAAGCAAGACTGAGGCAGATATTTACTGAAGCAGCACAGAGGTAAAAGTTATTCCCTGTCCACCTGCTATTTACTGTAACTACGGTAATGTTACTGAGAAACTGTTGCATCAATTAAATAACAAAAGTGAAAAGTGAACAGGTAAAAACTTTATATAACTAGAAAATAAACAATGAATTACTCATTAAAAAATAAAAAAGGAAAATGAATTAAGTTTAAAAAAAATGGGACTTGAGAAAAGCAAAAATTTAGCTACATTGTAACGGGAGGCTAGCTCCTAAATAAAAAAAATGTGAAAAAAATGAATGAAAAATTAGAAGCAGTTGACACTAAAAGGAGACATTAATAAAGATTTTAGCAACAAAGTTTCAGAAATTACCAAAAAGTATAGAAAATGTCAATGAAAATGTGCATTGTTGAGCTGAATTTTCACGTTAGCTTAGATAGGCTTATTTGTTTTTTTTCTAATTTTAAAATTGAACTGTTGCCACGCCTTGGTTGTGTTTAAAGGCAGCCGGCGATCATTTTTGTTGATGAACTGGACGCTCTGTGCCCGAAGCGTGAGGGAGCTCAGAACGAGGTGGAGAAACGAGTCGTAGCTTCTCTCCTGACTCTGATGGATGGAATCGGTTCAGTAAGTTCTCTGCCCACTGCCCATGAGATCATTGTCTCCATTGATCATTGTCTGCACATGAGTTTTTTAATGGTTCTGTAAATGAAGTGATGACTTATTTATTGTTATTTATTTATTTCAATGAATAATAATATATATATATATGTAAGTTTAAAAAAAGAAACATGCACTATCTCATGTATGGCTTTTATTTTTTGTTATAGTTTTATTATAAATAATTTGACATAAAAAAAATCATTAAACATTTCATTTAAATCATTAAACAGTTCTCCAAATAAAAAATCAAGCCTTCGCATTACACAACCAAAAGAGAATATAACTAAAGTTGTTACTATTAATTACATTAAAGCAAAAACATTGCAGACACAGAACAACAAAGTTGCCTTGACTAAACCCTTTCTCAGTAATAGCTGAAATCAAACGTAGCAAAAAGTTTTACAATATTTAAAGTACACACAGACAAAGTAAGAGCAAACCAAAGTGAACTGAAAAAATGTCAACATCTCAGTCAAAATAGAAAAATATGTTTAATAGTAATTTTACACTTAAAGGTAGAAAATCTAATGTTCACTGTTGAAAGCATCTGAATGTTTGAGCAGCTGTGAGGCTAATATTGAGTTGTGAATGTGGTGGCTGAATAAATCTGTGAAGAGCAGTCACTCTGATGGATCTGTCAGCTGAGTAAATCACCACATGAAAAGAAACACTGATTGTTTCCACAGTCCAACACAAACACACGGGAGTCTTCTGGTTTTTCCTTTAATGTGAAAATATGGATGAACACCATCCTGCTGATCTGCTACATTTTCATCCAGCAGTGATTGAATGACTCCTCAGAAGGTCTGTGTTACACTCGGCCTACACAGGGCTGCGGAGTTAGGTTACGGCAGCTGATCCAAGATCAGACAGGATTCTGATTCTCCTGTAGAAACCATCTCTGGGGCTGGACGCCCTTCACACACTCTGCATCCTGAAACTCTGCTCAGCTGTTTGTCCACTTGTATCTTGAGAACCTCATGGGGAAAAAAGACGATCCGTCACACACATACATACACACATACACACACATACCTACTGAGGTGGGGCCTGGGAAAGACATCACCTCAGTTTATCATGACCTGCCAATTTGCCGGAACGTTATCAGCCAAGTTCAGCTCCATGTCCTCTGGCAATGAGCGTTTTTTTTTTTCTCTCCCTTGGATCGGTGATATTAAACAGAAACAACTCCTGTCTGTTTTCCAGACAATTCAAGGTCGTCAGCACTGATTGGCCTGTGGAATGTGAAGAAATCACTTCCTGCTCCTCTAGCATTTGTGCTTTGTGCTGTAATTTATTTGTGTTTTACTGCTGCCCAAAAGGTGGGAAGGAAAGGTCTAAATTCTGCAGGCGGACCACCCCCGAAAAACACAGGAGTGAGTTGGGTTCAGCATCAGACCAGAGTCAGAAAAAGAAAATTTCCCGTAGGCTATAAAAACAAATCTCCGAAGCCACTTTAAGGATGTGAAGCCGGAAAAACACTGGGATACGTGTGGTCAAGAAGTTACACTAAATACAGGGCTGTTTGACTCTGTGTGATTCAGAGTTTATATCAGGACCAGTGCAGCATCAATCATGTGGTAACCATTTATTATTATACACACAGATACACAGGGCAACTCACATCCTTGAAAATGCTTACATTTCAAGGTAAGTGTTTAGAAATGATTTACATTTTTTTGATTTTTGCGACTTTACTCCTAATCCCCACAGGTGTGGATTAGTAAGAAAACTGAAACATATGTTGCCTGAAAAACAACTCAAATTTGACATCAAGGCCAGAAATAGCCAGAAATATCAAAAGTTAAAAAGTTGGCAAATTAATTTGATATAAAAGACTTACATTTAAAATGGCTCTAAGCAATAACAGCATACTATAGGCAAGGACTAAATAAAATCGTCATAAAATAATAATAAAATACTAAGACCTAACCAAATGAAACAATGAAAAAACACCACAACTGAAATATATCCCCAGGAAAGCCAAATATAAACCAAATTTTATAGACATAGTTATAGGTTAGCTTTAAACTACTGAGGTGCCTGGAAAACCTTGGGAATGATTCGTGGAAGTGTTGAAAAGGTGGTTGAAGAGTTTCTTCAGTAGTGACAAAAAATGAGTTAAAACAAAAATCTAATAGTACAGAAAAATACTAAATAGAACCAGTTTTAAAAATATTTCTGCTTTGTTTTTCCCAGGAGGGTCACTCGGGTCAGCTGTTGGTTCTCGGGGCCACAAACAGACCCCACGCCCTCGACCCGGCCCTACGTCGACCAGGGCGCTTTGATAAGGAGCTCGAGGTTTGTTTGAGTTAAAGTTCTGATATAACACAGTCTTTGTTTTGTCTTTGTATAGCAGTGTTTACACAGTGAATATATTTCTACATCTAAGGTGCTTTTTTTTAAGTTTTTTTTTTTTTTAACAATGACCTTGAACTAATGGAGAGTGAATCCCATTCCCCATTGAGTTTATTCTTTCAGATTTTATCATATTTGATTTGTGGAAAAAAAAAATTCAAAATGGAAATTCCATGACCCTCTTTCAGGACGTCTAAGGACCCTCCACAGTTTGCAGACCTTTTGTTGAACACTATTCTTGATTGGACTTGAGCAACAATCTTGTGTGTTTCCACTGCTGTAATTGGATGTTCATTAAAACTAGTTCTGTTCTGTTGTGACACCTACAGGTGGGAGTTCCTGCTGCAGCAGAGCGCGCAGACATTTTTCAGAAGCAGCTGAATTCTGTTCCCTGCAGCGCCACCTCTCAGGAGCTGATGCAGTTAGCCGATGCTGCTCATGGCTATGTGGGAGCCGACCTTGCAGCAGTTTGTAAAGAAGCAGGCGAGTACACAGTGTCTTACTGTTAAAGAACAGCTGCAGCAGCTTGAGCTTACCTTCATTTTCTGCTTCTTAAACCTTTTTGAGCCAAGGAACATATTTATTTTATTAGAAAACTCCCACAGCACACTGCCAGACAAAATTGTCCCAAAAAGTTTATGTAATGAAATTAAATGATCTTCTAGTTCCAGAGTGTTAAACTCTGTACTGTTTAATTGAGCACAACACTGATATACTCGCAGGAGTTGAAGAAAAACACACAAAGATCTTCTTCAACTTAATAACTAAGTAGTTACTTTTATTCAAGAAATCTAGATACAGGAATCTTCTAGATCTCTGGTCTCTCTTCTAAAACTGAATAGCAGCTACTCTTTATTCTCTAGTACCTCTACAGTACTTCATTCTTGAAGAACCAGCACTTTCTAGTTTACTTTGTGCTTCTGTTTTCCTGTTTTTATATTGTCTAAGTTCTCCTTTAACTTCAGGAACGCTCTTTGTTCATTCACCAATATGTCTACACACCTATCCTTTGTCACCCAAACCTGCTGCACACCAGGAATAAGTTATTAAATTTAAACTCTATTAAAGTTTTATTAGAGTCTCTGTTTTCCGTCATCTACATTACCTTCCCTCATTCTAATGCTGAAACCAAGTCAGTGGCTCCAAAAACGGTTGAATAAATTCTTCTGTTTCAGTTTAAATTTCCCTCTTTATGAACACGTTCCATAGTTGCTTTCCATCCTGCCTCAGGCAGTAAAGTTAACCAGGTACCTTCTAACTGGACCGAGCTCACGTTACAAGAATTACAGCGCTAGATTTTAATGAAGTCATGAAATGAATGTGTATAATAAAAGAGGAAACCGAGGAAAACATCCACAGCACAGAGCAGTTGGGAAACATCACAACTGTTGCTTCTGGCACTTCCCAGATAACCGACATGATTGTGGAAACCAAATTACAGTGAAGTCGCCCAAGGTTGATGGTTGAATAGCGCTCACACACACACACACACACGCTCAGTCAGGAGCTGCTGTTCATCTTGGACTCAGGCGTTGAGACCAGACTGTAGTACTGAGGGGCCTTCAGTTTTTAGTTCATTATTTTATCTCCCCCTGTGAGTCGTGACTCCATTTCTGCACGTCTCACCTCACTCCCAGCGCAATCCACTGACGTATGACTTCATTTACCAGTTATTTTTCGGAACTTTTCTTAAAAGTCGGACATGTCTTCAGCTCCTTTTGAACACAAACTCTTTGATATTCTGCGAAGAGGAAGTCGTGAGTTCTTGTGGTTTTCACATCCCAGTGAGAGAAACCACTGAAACCACCACTTGTTGTGAAATTCCTCTGCCCCCTCACTCCTGTCGCCACAAACCATCCAACTCGCATCTCCAGGACAAAACACACTGGCTTGCATGTGTGTGTGTGTGTGTCTTTCTACATGCGCTTGATTGCAGGCTTGTGTGTGTGTGTACCATTGTACGAGCACTAGCACTTTTGTTTTTCCTGCGTGTGTGTGTGAGACCCTGTGTGCCTCCTGGGTGGTCTCCCGGCCCGGGTACGTGGCGTATTGCATTTCCAGCTGAGGAAGGAGCCGAGGCTGCTGCTGTGCGGAAGCGGGCCAGCTAAGAGCATGATTTAGTGTCCGCAGAGGTCCAGACGTGACTGACAGAGTTTTCGGAGAAACCTCCCCGCTGCCCAGAGGGAGACAACAGCCTCTCAAACACCCTGCTTGGCTCTGCTGGCGTTTACTAAACTGTCAGAAAACCCACAGTCACTGAGCAAACACCCGTGCCAGCAAAAAAAGGCCGCAGAGGAGTAAACAGATTCCGAATTCATTCAGGTTTTGTTTCTACAGGTTGGAAATTAAGTACAGTTCACAGTTCAGTTCCGTTAGTAACAGAAAACAGGCCATCCTTTATTCAGTCATCGTTCCAGGGGAAATTATTAACACTTTTCAAGGTCGTTCAGGTCAAAGCAGCAGTAAATGTGTCACAGATAATATGCAAACAATGAATATGGATTTTTCCAGAATAGGCACTTCCTAATTAATGACAGGGTCTTGGCATGATGGGCAATATTGAGTTTAGGACTAGGCAGGATCTCCATGTTAAAAAACACATCCGTTTCAGATAGAGGCCTGCTGATTTTTTTTTTTTTTAAGTTTGATCAAGGTATGTGCTCCTAAGTTGAGTTTTTTGACTGTAAGCAATTATTTGAGCTGCTGTTTTTTTGTCTTATTTTTCATTATTTACATTTATTCTGGTAACTGTTGCTGACTATTGGTGCGACATAACTATAAGATCTACAGAATTCTTGGCTGAAAGTTTTGTTTTTTTTGTTTAGCTGTTTGCACTCATCCATCATCACTTCCTCTAAAGCAGAAATTTGTTTTGAAATGTAGTGCAGGAAGAAGAAGAAGAAAAGGAAAGATGCAAAAGAAGTAGGAGCAAAAGGAAAGGAAGAGGAAAAACAGAGGAATCAAATAGAATGTCCAACAGGAGTTTTCTGTAACAGTATGTTCTGGGGTCACATCCCCTCAAAGCCCCGTCTCCTCTCATAGAATAAACTGATGGACCCATGTGACCACAGATGTACCTACAGGTTCATGACTGTTTTTTCCTCCTGAGTCTTTATAGCAAAGAACAAAAGGCAGAGCAGCACAAACACGTCCAGTCAGGGAACTGCAGTTGTTTCCTCAGGTAACAATGAGCTGCTGCAGGAACATCGGCTCTTACAAACACCGCTTCCTGGAAAATTTGGGGGAAAAAATGGTGGACACCTGTGATCCATGTTTCTGTCACACATTAGGGTCACGCAAGCTAGATGTCCCGCTGCACATCTGCAGAGGAGAGGGCACATACACACACGCTTTGATGCACGCGACCAGTGTGTGTTGGTGTTTTTTACATCCCGCTTATGGATGAGTCTTAGAAAATCACTTAAAAATAACTGTGGTAACCCGGAATGACGACCTCTAGTGGAGAAATGTTGACAATTAATGATGACAGCAGTCTTGGTTAAAACAATACTGAATCCGATTTGGTCTCTGCATCGAACACATGCCTGCTTTAAATTTAGGTTTGTTCGACTGTGTGGTGAAATTTACAACAAACAATCACAAACCTAACTTATACTTTTATTTTGTTTGCTTTTTATTGTGTGACTTTTTGTGCTAAGATTCCCCTATACTGTATCTACCTCATTGGAATATGGTAAACAAATTATTACATTTATAGTGAGTAGAAACATTGTTATTTTTTAATTTAATTTAATTTAATTTAATTTAATTTAATTTAATTTAATTTAATTTAATTTAATTTAATTTAATTTAATTTAATTTAATTTAATTTAATTTAATTTAATTTAATTTAATTTAATTTAATTTAATTTAATTTAATTTAATTTAATTTAATTTAATTTAATTTAATTTAATTTAATTTAATTTAATTTAATTTAATTTAATTTAATTTAATTTAATTTAATTTAATTTAATTTAATACATTTAAATTAATTATCATCACATGGGATCATGTTAATTATTATTGTCACAAATAACACAAACCTGTACAAAAGAAAGGACATTTAAAATCCTTTTTAGCTCGCAGTAATGTGATACTTTTTGGATTAGCCTGCTAATTTAAAACGATAACTCCACAAACATGAATGTATCATGTGTAGACTGTTAAGGATGTTTTGGTGCAGAGTAGTGTTTTGTATTTTTAGTTGGATCACTTTTCTGCCTTGTTAAGCTGCTGATTTCCTCTGATCCTGTGTCACATTGACCCTGTTCTCAGCCCGGCGCAGATAACACAAAACATTGTCTCATAATGAATCCCTGTAGGTGTTTTGTGTGGTATCAGGAGCTATCATGTGGTCTCGCGGAGCCGCGCAGTCTCTGGGCGTCTCTCGTTCATCCTGTCGCCGTTAAACTGATCTGGGTGCTGGCAGATGACTCATTTCCACAGTCTAAACTCTTCTAATTCTGTGTATGTATGTGTGTGTGTGCACGCGCGCCACATCCGGACACACTGTTTACAAGTCTCTCTAAACAGGGGAAGCCTACTGAAACAAAAAGAGCCAGTAAAATTAATTATGGAGAATAATAAACACACAAATCAGCCCCGTGTAAGATAAAAGCTCTTTGGTTGGTCTTTTATTTTGACTGAAAAAAAGGCTCTGCTTTAATAATCAGCATCCACTTCTTTCAGCTAGAACTAAACTACCCTAATTTATTTACTCAGTAAATGCGCTAAGTGATTGGGGGAATGTAAATTCCCCTTGAAAAGCCCAGCGGCTGGTCTTTAGACCCAACAGAGGCAGGAAGCAGTCGGAGAGTTTACTCCACATGGACGACAAACCTGCTCAGAAATGAGCTGTGTTCTTGCCTGTTTGACATCGCTGGTGCTGTGTGAAACCAAACGGACCAAACAGAGCTGGACGTTGGCCGATGTTTACAGCCGCGGTTTTACCTTATAAAGCTCTTTTCCCAAGTTCTCTGTCCTTTTAAAGACACTTTCGGAACTTCAGGACAGGCCACATAAATCGGTGGGATCAGCATGTGAAGTTTATTTGAGACACATGTTTATAAAATCCGGAAATGTGCTGCTTGTACTCCTTAACCCCGTGCTCTTACGTCCGCCTAGTGACAGCTGTGCATGTGTGTGTTTGCGTGTTCCTGTAGTACTATCTCTGTTAGGCCCACTTGGATAATTTATTAAGTGATTGCATGTTGGTCCTCCTTCTTTCCAGTCTCAGAACTGGTCTGTTTGAGGGTTAGAGACTTAGTTTTGATCTCAGGTCTTAAGGTTGAAATTGTTGATTTGATTGGTTCAGTTAGAATGGAGGACATACAGTGCATTAGTTCTTTTTTTTTTTTCATCCCTACCTAGAAAGACACTTGTTGTTAAGGACTGGAGATGGCCATTCCTCTCTGAAGCACTCACCTTCAGTTATTGTAGTGGCTTTCAAACTGGGTAATTTAATTTAATTTAATTTAATACA